TGAGGAACAGAGGAGACTGAATTCCCACTGACCTATCTGTGTGATGAGGGAAAGAGACTGAATGCCCACTGACCTATCTGTGTGATGGGGGATAGAGACTGAATGCCCACTGACCTATCTGTGTGATGAGGGATAGAGACTGAATGCCCACTGACCTATCTGTGTGATGAGGGATAGATGAGACTGAATCCCCACTGACCTATCTGTGTGATGAGGGATAGGGACTGAATGCCCACTGACCTATCTGTGTGATGGGGGATAGAGGAGACTGAATGCCCACTGACCTATCTGTGTGATGAGGAACAGAGACTGAATGCCCACTGACCTATCTCTGTGTGATGGGGGATAGAGGAGACTGAATGCCCACTGACCTATCTGTGTGATGAGGGATAGAGACTGAATGCCCACTGACCTATCTGTGTGATGGGGGATAGAGGAGACTGAATGCCCACTGACCTATCTGTGTGATGAGGAACAGAGACTGAATGCCCACTGACCTATCTCTGTGTGATGGGGGATAGAGGAGACTGAATGCCCACTGACCTATCTGTGTGATGAGGGATAGAGACTGAATGCCCACTGACCTATCTGTGTGATGGGGGAAAGAGGAGACTGAATGCCCACTGACCTATCTGTGTGATGAGGAACAGAGACTGAATGCCCACTGACCTATCTCTGTGTGATGGGGGATAGAGGAGACTGAATGCCCACTGACCTATCTGTGTGATGGGGGATAAGGGAGACTGAATGCCCACTGACCTATCTGTGTGATGGGGGATAGAGACTGAATGCCCACTGACCTATCTGTGTGATGAGGGATAGAGGAGACTGAATGCCCACAGACCAATCTGTGTGTTGGGGGATAGAGGAGACTGAATGCCCACTGACCTATCTGTGTGATGGGGGATAGAGGAGACTGAATGCCCACTGACCTATCTGTGTGATGAGGGATAGAGACTGAATGCCCACTGACCTATCTGTGTGATGGGTGATAGAGGAGACTGAATGCCCACTGACCTATCCGTGTGATGAGGAACAGAGACTGAATGCCCACTGACCTATCTCTGTGTGATGGGGGATAGAGGAGACTGAATGCCCACTGACCTATCTGTGTGATGAGGAACAGAGACTGAATGCCCACTGACCTATCTTTGTGTCATGGGGGATAGAGGAGACTGAATGCCCACTGACCTATCTGTGTGATGGGGGATAGAGGAGACTGAATGCCAACTGACCTATCTGTGTGATGAGGGATAGAGGAGACTGAATGCCCACTGACCTATCTGTGTGATGGGGGATAGAGGAGACTGAATGCCCACTGACCTATCTGTGTGATGAGGGATAGAGGAGACTGAATGCCCACTGACCTATCTGTGTGATGAGGGATAGAGGAGACTGAATGCCCACTGACATATCTGTGTGATGAGGGATAGAGGAGACTGAATGCCCACTGACCTATCTGTGTGATGAGGGAAAGAGACTGAATGCCCACTGACCTATCTGTGTGATGAGGAACAGAGACTGAATGCCCACTGACCTATCTGTGTGATGAGGGATAGAGACTGAATGCCCACTGACCTATCTGTGTGATGAGGAACAGAGACTGAATGCCCACTGACCTATCTGTGTGATGGGGGATAGAGGAGACTGAATGCCCACTGACCTATCTGTGTGATGAGGGATAGAGACTGAATGCCCACTGACCTATCTGTGTGATGAGGAACAGAGGAGATTGAATGCCCACTGACCTATCTGTGTGATGGGGGATAGAGACTGAATGCCCACTGACCTATCTGTGTGATGAGGGATAGAGACTGAATGCCCACTGACCTATCTCTGTGTGATGGGGGATAGAGGAGACTGAATGCCCACTGACCTATCTGTGTGATGAGGGATAGAGGAGACTGAATGCCCACTGACCTATCTGTGTGATGAGGAACAGAGGAGACTGAATGCCCACTGACCTATCTGTGTGATGAGGGATAGAGACTGAATGCCCACTGACCTATCTGTGTGATGGGGGATAGAGACTGAATGCCCACTGACCTATCTGTGTGATGAGGAACAGAGGAGACTGAATGCCCACTGACCTATCTGTGTGATGAGGGAAAGAGACTGAATGCCCACTGACCTATCTGTGTGATGAGGAACAGAGGAGACTGAATGCCCACTGACCTATCTGTGTGATGAGGGAAAGAGACTGAATGCCCACTGACCTATCTCTGTGTGATGGGGGATAGAGACTGAATGCCCACTGACGTATCTGTGTGATGAGGGATAGAGACTGAATGCCCACTGACCTATCTCTGTGTGATGGGGGATAGAGGAGACTGAATGCCCACTGACCTATCTGTGTGATGAGGGATAGAGGAGACTGAATGCCCACTGACCTATCTGTGTGATGAGGAACAGAGGAGACTGAATGCCCACTGACCTATCTGTGTGATGAGGGATAGAGACTGAATGCCCACTGACCTATCTGTGTGATGAGGGATAGAGGAGACTGAATGCCCACTGACCTATCTGTGTGATGAGGAACAGAGGAGACTGAATGCCAACTTACCTATCTGTGTGATGGGGGATAGAGCAGACTGAATGCCCACTGACCTATCTGTGTGATAGGGGAGAGAGACTGAATGCCCAGTGACCTATCTGTGTGATGGGGGATAGAGGAGACTGAATGCCCACTGACCTATCTGTGTGATGGGGGATAGAGACTGAATGCCCACTGACCTATCTGTGTGATGGGGGATAGAGGAGACTGAATGCCCACTGACCTATCTGTGTGATGAGGGATAGAGGAGACTGAATGCCCACTGACCTATATGTGTGATGAGGAACAGAGGAGACTGAATTCCCACTGACCTATCTGTGTGATGAGGGAAAGAGACTGAATGCCCACTGACCTATCTGTGTGATGGGGGATAGAGACTGAATGCCCACTGACCTATCTGTGTGATGAGGGATAGAGACTGAATGCCCACTGACCTATCTGTGTGATGAGGGATAGATGAGACTGAATCCCCACTGACCTATCTGTGTGATGAGGGATAGGGACTGAATGCCCACTGACCTATCTGTGTGATGGGGGATAGAGGAGACTGAATGCCCACTGACCTATCTGTGTGATGAGGAACAGAGACTGAATGCCCACTGACCTATCTCTGTGTGATGGGGGATAGAGGAGACTGAATGCCCACTGACCTATCTGTGTGATGAGGGATAGAGACTGAATGCCCACTGACCTATCTGTGTGATGGGGGATAGAGGAGACTGAATGCCCACTGACCTATCTGTGTGATGAGGAACAGAGACTGAATGCCCACTGACCTATCTCTGTGTGATGGGGGATAGAGGAGACTGAATGCCCACTGACCTATCTGTGTGATGAGGGATAGAGACTGAATGCCCACTGACCTATCTGTGTGATGGGGGAAAGAGGAGACTGAATGCCCACTGACCTATCTGTGTGATGAGGAACAGAGACTGAATGCCCACTGACCTATCTCTGTGTGATGGGGGATAGAGGAGACTGAATGCCCACTGACCTATCTGTGTGATGGGGGATAAGGGAGACTGAATGCCCACTGACCTATCTGTGTGATGGGGGATAGAGACTGAATGCCCACTGACCTATCTGTGTGATGAGGGATAGAGGAGACTGAATGCCCACTGACCAATCTGTGTGTTGGGGGATAGAGGAGACTGAATGCCCACTGACCTATCTGTGTGATGGGGGATAGAGGAGACTGAATGCCCACTGACCTATCTGTGTGATGAGGGATAGAGACTGAATGCCCACTGACCTATCTGTGTGATGGGTGATAGAGGAGACTGAATGCCCACTGACCTATCTGTGTGATGAGGAACAGAGACTGAATGCCCACTGACCTATCTCTGTGTGATGGGGGATAGAGGAGACTGAATGCCCACTGACCTATCTGTGTGATGAGGAACAGAGACTGAATGCCCACTGACCTATCTTTGTGTGATGGGGGATAGAGGAGACTGAATGCCCACTGACCTATCTGTGTGATGGGGGATAGAGGAGACTGAATGCCAACTGACCTATCTGTGTGATGAGGGATAGAGGAGACTGAATGCCCACTGACCTATCTGTGTGATGGGGGATAGAGGAGACTGAATGCCCACTGACCTATCTGTGTGATGAGGGATAGAGGAGACTGAATGCCCACTGACCTATCTGTGTGATGAGGGATAGAGGAGACTGAATGCCCACTGACATATCTGTGTGATGACGGAGAGAGGAGACTGAATGCCCACTGACCTATCTGTGTGATGAGGAACAGAGGAGACTGAATGCCCACTGACCTATCTGTGTGATGAGGGATAGAGGAGACTGAATGCCAACTGACCTATCTGTGTGATGAGGAACAGAGGAGACTGAATGCCCACTGACTTATCTGTGTGATGGGGGATAGAGACTGAATGCCCACTGACCTATCTGTGTGATGAGGGATAGAGACTAAATGCCCACTGACCTATCTGTGTGATGAGGAACAGAGACTGAATGCCCACTGACCTATCTGTGTGATGAGGGATAGAGGAGACTGAATGCCCACTCACCTATCTGTGTGATGAGGGATAGAGACTGAATGCCCACTGACCTGTCTGTGTGATGGGGGATAGAGACTGAATGCCCACTGACCTGTCTGTGTGATGGGGGATAGAGGAGACTGAATGCCCACTGACCTATCTGTGTGATGGGGGATAGAGACTGAATGCCCACTGACCTATCTGTGTGATGAGGGATAGAGACTGAATGCCAACTGACCTATCTGTGTGATGAGGGATAGAGACTGAATGCCCACTGACCTATCTGTATGATGAGGAACAGAGACTGAATGCCCACTGACCTATCTGTGTGATGAGGGATAGAGACTGAATGCCCACTGACCTATCTGTGTGATGAGGGATAGAGACTGAATGCCCACTGACCTATCTGTGTGATGAGGGATAGAGCCTGAATGACCACTGACCTATCTGTGTGATGAGGGTGCGGAACTGGTCTAGGTAACTCTCTCCATCAGGTGTCAGGCCCAACTTCCGGATTCCCTTGTTGAACTTGTCTGCTCGCTCAAATGGGTACTGCAAGTTCATGTGACTTCATATCAGATCTTACTTTTCATACATGTGTTTATGATATACTGTTTACTTACAAAGTTTGTGAAACATGACATTAATATCTACAACACTTCATCTGACCATTTGCAGAATGTGGTACTGTAAGTGTCTTGCACCATATCTGTAAAACACTGAACTGAATTTGGCACTATTGATAGCTACGTTACGATAAAGAGTGAGTGAGTGAATATGGTTTAACGCCGCTTTTAGCAATATTCCAGCAATATCACGGCGGGGGACACCAGTAATGGGCTTCACACATTGTACCCATGTCGGGAATTGAACCCGGGTCTTCGGCGTGATGAGCGAACGCTTTAACCACTAGGCTACCCGACCGCCCCTGTTAGGATAAAGACTATGATGTAACTGTGATATAACTAATAGTATTTGGCACTATTGATAGCTATGTTAGTATAAAGACTATGATGTAACTGTGATATAACTAATAGTATTTGGCACTATTGATAGCTAAGTTACTATAAAGACTATGATGTAACAGTGATATAACTAATAGTATTTGGCACTATTGATAGCTATGTTACGAAAAGACTATGATGTAACAGTGATATAACTAATAGTATTTTGGCACTATTGATAGCTATGTTATGATAAAGACTATGATGTAACAGTGATATAATTAATAGTATTTGGCACTATTGATAGCTACGTTACGATAAAGAGTGAGTGAGTGAGTATGGTTTAACGCCGCTTTTAGCAATATTCCAGCAATATCACGGCGGGGGACACCAGTAATGGGCTTCACACATTGTACCCATGTCGGGAATTGAACCCGGGTCTTCGGCATGATGAGCGAACGCTTTAACCACTAGGCTACCCGACCGCCCCTGTTAGGATAAAGACTATGATGTAACTGTGATATAACTAATAGTATTTGGCACTATTGATAGCTATGTTAGTATAAAGACTATGATGTAACAGTGATATAACTAATAGTATTTGGCACTATTGATAGCTATGTTACTATAAAGACTATGATGTAACAGTGATATAACTAATAGTATTTGGCACTATTGATAGCTGTGTTACGAAAAGACTATGATGTAACAGTGATAAAACTAATAGTATTTGGCACTATTGATAGCTATGTTATGATAAAGACTGATGTAACAGTGATATAATTAATAGTATTTGGCACTATTGATAGCTATGTTATGATAAAGACTATGATGTAACAGTGATATAATTAATAGTATTTGGCACTATTGATAGCTTGGTTACTATAAAGACTATGATGTAACAGTGATATAACTAATAGTATTTGGCACTATTGATAGCTATGTTACTATAAAGACTATGATGTAACAGTGATATAACTAATAGTATTTGGCACTATTGATAGCTGTGTTACGAAAAGACTATGATGTAACAGTGATAAAACTAATAGTATTTGGCACTATTGATAGCTATGTTATGATAAAGACTGATGTAACAGTGATATAATTAATAGTATTTGGCACTATTGATAGCTATGTTATGATAAAGACTATGATGTAACAGTGATATAATTAATAGTATTTGGCACTATTGATAGCTTGGTTACTATAAAGACTATGATGTAACAGCGATGTAATGACATGGTTGATGTTACCTTTTGATCAGTCTGCATATGATTTTCCTTGAAAAACTTCCAGTCCTGAAAAATTAATTCATCAAGAATGACTTCTCCTTGACTATTATCTTGCTGCCATGCAGCCAAGTTACCCAAAAACATGGTTCAGCTGGCTGCATTTATTGTTTTAGGAGCTACATCAGTGCACTAATCTTGAACGCGACCTTAAGGCCCATTTCCCCTTACCTCTGCCGGTATTTGGATTGAACTCATCATGGGCAGGGAGTATTCCGTATGAAACTCTGAAGATGTCACCAACAGCAACTGTGTATTGGGAGTAACGATCACCAGTGCTAACATTGCTTTGCGGAACAGGACCAAGGTCCCCATGCTAAAGGGTCCATGGCCACTGCTTGACATGTCATCCCAAACATTCATAAAACATGTTCCAGCAATAAACAATCTGTTTTCAATACTCACTTTGATCAGTCTGGATTTAATGTGTTCATCATACATGAACTGAGAGAAGATGAAGAATTTCTTGCGAAGGAACTGGTACGTGAAATTGACCTGGAATGAAGACTCAGTTAGTTATCGCTCTCATCAAAGGTTGTTAAATGTCAGCCAAGATTTGACGCTTGTTGATAATACCACAAATATACAGTATCTTATGAGTGAGTGAGTGAGTATGGTTTTACACAGCTTTTAGCAATATTCCAGCAATATCACGGCGGGGGACACCAGAAATGGGCTTCACACATCGTACCCATGTCGGGAATCGAACCCGGGTCTTCCGCATGACGAGCGAACGCTTTAACCACTAGGCTACCTGCCCGCCCCCAGTATCTTATGACACTGATGACCAATTACAGTTGGTCTCTTGTTAGCACAGGCCTAAAGAAAATGATTTTGATTCTAAATTCCTAAATTAGTGCAACAGCACTGTAGCTCACCTGAACATGTCGCCAAGTTTTTAAAATATCAACAGCCGCTTAACTCAAGTTGCTGTCAGCATTGATATTCAAATATTTTATGCATAAATACTTTTTGCTTTAATTTATGACAAACACCAAACAAAGAGAACACAACATAAGTTCACTTGACTTTCAGTCAGGTGAGCTATACATCTTCAAGCATAATTAACTGACTTAAAAAGTTTCTCCTGACTACACAACCAGCAGTGTATTATACTCATCATTACCTAACCATGATGTCACACCAAGAAGCATGAAGCACCGAGTCGGTGATCAGGTAGCAGGGAGAAAAGAAGAACCCTGGGTAATGGCGTCCAGTCTACTGCTCAAATCAATCAGGATGTGATGACACTAAATCAGCATGGCTGCAGCTAAGTGCTAGTCCTTACAAGCGGTGACACATGGAAGTACTCGTCCTACTTCATACATGTGACTCCTCATCCCACATCCTGTGTCACATTCGGACATACATTCAGACAGGGTCCATGAAAGTTGTCAAGGATTTCCCGCTTTTAACAGTATTCCAGTTATATCACAGCATGAAAGCTTAACATGGGAGGAAAGCCTGAAGCAACTCTGCACAGCAAACTGCAGCGCCTTAGATGATTGGACCACCCGTGCCCCCTCTCCATGTGAACACAAGTAAACACAGGTGAACAAAGAGACTCACAGTAGTGTTCATGATGCCAATGCCATGTGTCCGTATAGAGTTGGCTATGTGCCGGATGTTGATGGTGTTCAGATGTTTGTTGTTGCTTGTCCTCTCCACAAATATCTGCAATGATAGGTAAATACAGAAATTAAAAAGAATACCATATAATTAGGAATGCCATCCGGCCTTGACAGTGAATCATTACATACTGCTGACAGAGAGCCTAAACAGAGACTCAAGAATTGTTTGCCCAATTCAAGTCCAGGTATTGATGAAAATGTTCATGATTTGGGTCAGATTTGCTACATGTTTGTTTATTGTTTAGCACCACACTCAGCAATATTCCAGCTACATAACGGCAGTCTGTAAATAATCAAGCCTTGACCACACAATCCACTGATTGACATTATGAGCATCGACCTACGCATCAAGCAAGTCAGCGAGTCTGACCACCCGATCCAGATTTGCTAGAACTGCCAAATCGTTTGCCTATATCTATATTGGTCTCCTCCAATAATAAAAGAACAATTATGCCAGTTCACCACACATGAGGTGTAAGTGTGGGTGTAAGTTGAGATGTAAGTTTGGGTTAGCTTTAGCAGGGAGGGTCTAAGTGTTGGTGTAAGTTGAGATGTAAGTTTGGGTTAGCTTTAGGAGGAAGGGTCTAAGTGTGGGTGTAAGTTGAGATGTAAGTTTGGGTTAGCTTTAGGAGTTAGGGTCTAAGTGTGGGTGTAAGTTGAGATGTAAGTTTGGATTAGCTTTAGGAGGGAGGGTCTAAGTGCGGGTGTTAGTTGAGATGTAAGTGTCGGTGTAAGATGAGGTGTAAGTTGAGGTGTAAATTGAGGTTTAAGTGTAGGTGAAAGTTGAGGTGTAAATTGATATGTAATTTCGGATGTAAGTTGAGGTGTAGGTGTGAGCTGAGGTGTACGTTGAGGTGTACGTTGAGGTGTAAGTTGAGGTGTAAGTTGAGGTGTAAGTTCGGATGTAAGTTGAGGTGAAAGTGTGGGTGTAAGTTGTGATGTAAGTTCGGGTGTAAATGTGGGTGTGGGTTGAGGTGTAGGTGTGGGTGTAAGTTGAGAAGTAAGTTGAGAAGTAAGTTGAGGTGTTAGTTGAGGTGTAAATTGAATTGTAAGTGTGGGTGTGAGTTGAGGTGTAAGTGTGGGTGTAAGTTGAGGTGTAAGTTGAGGAATAGGTTGAGGTGTAAGTGTGGGTGTAAGTTGAGGTGTAACTTGAATTGTAAGTGTGGGTGTGAGTTGAGGTGTAAGTGTGGGTGTAAGTTGAGGTGTAAGTTGAGGAATAGGTTGAGGTGTAAGTGTGGGTGTTAGTTGAGGTGTAACTTGAATTGTAAGTGTGGGTGTGAGTTGAGGTGTAAGTGTGGGTGTAAGTTGAGGTGTAAGTTGAGGAATAGGTTGAGGTGTAAGTGTGGATGTGAGCTAAGGAGTAAGTTGAGGTGTAAGTTGAGATGTTAGTGTCGGTGCAAGTTGAGGTGTAAGTTGAGGTATAAATTGAGGTTTAAGTGTAGGTGAAAGTTGAGGTGTAAATTGATATGTAATTTTGGATGTAAATTGAGGTGTAGGTGTGAGTTGAGGTGTAGGTTGAGGTGTAAGTTGAGGTGTAAGTTCGGATGTAAGTTAAGGTGAAAGTGTGGGTGTAAGTTGAGGTGTAAGTTGTGGTGTAAGTTCAGGTGTAAATGTGGGTGTGAGTTGAGGTGTAAGTGTGGGTGTAAGTTGAGGTGTAAGTTGTGGTGTAAGTTCAGGTGTAAATGTGGGTGTGGGTTGAGGTGAAAGTGTGGGTGTAAGTTGAGGTGTAAGTGTGGGTGTAAGTTGAGGAGTAAGTTGAGGAGTAAGTGTGGGTGTTAGTTGAGGTGTAAATTGATATGTAATTTGGGATGTAAATTGAGGTGTAGGTGTGAGTTGAGGTGTACGTTGACGTGTAAGTTGAGGTGTAAGTTCGGATGTAAGTTAAGGTGAAAGTGTGGGTGTAAGTTGAGGTGTAAGTTGTGGTGTAAGTTCAGGTGTAAATGTGGGTGTGGGTTGAGGTGAAAGTGTGGGTGTAAGTTGAGGTGTAAGTGTGGGTGTAAGTTGAGGAGTAAGTTGAGGAGTAAGTGTGGGTGTTAGTTGAGGTGTAAATTGATATGTAATTTGGGATGTAAATTGAGGTGTAGGAGTGAGTTGAGGTGTACGTTGAGGTGTAAGTTGAGGTGTAAGTTGAGGAGTAAGTGTGGGTGTTAGTTGAGGTGTAAGTGTGGGTGTAAGTTGAGGAGTAAGTTGAGGAGTAAGTGTGGGTGTTAGTTGAGGTGTACGTTGAGGTGTAAGTTGAGGAGTGAGTTGAGGTGTAAGTTGAGGTGTAAGTGTGGATGTAAGTTGAGGTGTACGTTGAGGTGTAAGTTGAGGAGTGAGTTGAGGTGTAAGTTGAGGTGTAAGTTGAGGTGTAAGTGTGGGTGTAAGTTGAGGTGTACGTTGAGGTGTAAGTTGAGGAGTGAGTTGAGGTGTAAGTTGAGGTGTAAGTGTGGGTGTAAGTTGAGGAGTAAGTTGAGGAGTAAGTGTGGGTGTAAGTTCAGGTGTAAATTGAGGAGTTAGTGTGGGTGTAAGTTGAGGTGTACGTTGAGGTGTAAGTTGAGGAGTGAGTTGAGGTGTAAGTTGAGGTGTAAGTGTGGATGTAAGTTGAGGTGTAAGTGTGGGTGTAAGTTGAGGAGTAAGTGTGGGTGTGAGTTGAGGAGTAAGTGTGGGTGTGAGTTGAGGTGTAAGTGTGGGTGTAAGTTGAGGTGTAAGTTGTGGTGTAAGTTCAGGTGTAAATGTGGGTGTGAGTTGAGGTGTAAGTGTGGGTGTAAGTTGAGGTGTAAGTTGAGGAATAGGTTGAGGTGTAAGTGTGGGTGTGAGCTAAGGAGTAAGTTCAGGTGTAAGTTGAGATGTTAGTGTCGGTGCAAGTTGAGGTGTAAGTTGAGGTGTAAATTGAGGTTTAAGTGTAGGTGTAGGTTGAGGTGTAAGTTGAGGTGTAAGTTCGGATGTAAGTTAAGGTGAAAGTGTGGGTGTAAGTTGAGGTGTAAGTTGTGGTGTAAGTTCAGGTGTAAATGTGGGTGTGGGTTGAGGTGAAAGTGTGGGTGTAAGTTGAGGTGTAAGTGTAGGTGTAGGTTGAGGTGTAAGTTGAGGTGTAAGTTCGGATGTAAGTTAAGGTGAAAGTGTGGGTGTAAGTTGAGGTGTAAGTTGTGGTGTAAGTTCAGGTGTAAATGTGGGTGTGGGTTGAGGTGAAAGTGTGGGTGTAAGTTGAGGTGTAAGTGTGGGTGTAAGTTGAGGAGTAAGTTGAGGAGTAAGTGTGGGTGTTAGTTGAGGTGTAAATTGATATGTAATTTGGGATGTAAATTGAGGTGTAGGTGTGAGTTGAGGTGTACGTTGACGTGTAAGTTGAGGTGTAAGTTTGGATGTAAGTTGAGGAGTAAGTTGAGGTGTAAGTGTGGGTGTAAGTTGAGGAGTAAGTTGAGGAGTAAGTGTGGGTGTAAGTTCAGGTGTAAATTGAGGAGTTAGTGTGGGTGTAAGTTGAGGTGTACGTTGAGGTGTAAGTTGAGGAGTGAGTTGAGGTGTAAGTTGAGGTGTAAGTGTGGATGTAAGTTGAGGTGTAAGTGTGGGTGTAAGTTGAGGAGTAAGTGTGGGTGTGAGTTGAGGAGTAAGTGTGGGTGTGAGTTGAGGTGTAAGTGTGGGTGTAAGTTGAGGTGTAAGTTGAGGTGTTAGTGTGGGTGTAAGTTGAGGAGTAAGTTGAGGAGTAAGTTGAGGTGTTTGTGTGGGTGTGAGTTGAGGAGTAAGTGTGGGTGTGAGTTGAGGTGTAAGTGTGGGTGTAAGTGTGGGTGTGAGTTGAGGTGTAAGTTGAGGAGTAAGTGTGGGTGTGAATTGAGGTGTAAGTGTGGGTGTAAGTTGAGGTGTAAGTTGAGGTGTTAGTGTGGGTGTAAGTTGAGGAGTAAGTTGAGGAGTAAGTTGAGGTGTTAGTGTGGGTGTGAGTTGAGGAGTAAGTGTGGGTGTGAGTTGAGGTGTAAGTGTGGGTGTAAGTGTGGGTGTGAGTTGAGGTGTAAGTTGAGGTGTAAGTGTGGGTGTGAGTTGAGGTGTAAGTGTGGGTGTAAGTTGAGGAGTAAGTTGAGGTGTAAGTTGAGGAGTAAGTTGAGGTGTAAGTGTGGGTGTAAGTTGAGGAGTAAGTTGAGGTGTTAGTGTAGGTGTAAGTTGGGGTTAGCTTTAGAAGGGAAGGCGACACAAGGCTGGACATACACACCTGGTTGTTGAGATTGTAGAGATACTTGGACACAAACACATGGATGTTCCTCATGATTTCAAGCACATCTAGACCCTGCAACATCACACACAGTACTGTGAGGCTAACAGTAGACACTGAGCTTCAGGGCAGTGTGTAGGCATTCAGGATATAACAGCTAGAGTCGTTTACCAGACGAAATAAAATATTTTCAAACTGACTAGGATAGAAGGTAACTGTCTCCTACCTGTTCTAGTGCCTGAGTGGGGAGGAGAAGGCATTCTACCGTCTCCTACCTGTTCTAGTGTCTGACTGGGGAGAAGGAACTCTACTGCCCCCCCATGTTCTAGTGTCTGGCTGGGGAGGAGAAGGAACTCTACTGTCTCCTACCTGTTCTAGTGTCTGACTGGGGAGTAGGAATTCTACCGTCTCCTACCTGTTCTAGTGTCTGACTGGGGAGGAGAAGGAATTCTACTGTCTCCTACCTGTTCTAGTGTCTGACTGGGGAGAAGGAGCTCTACCGTCTCCTACCTGTTCTAGTGTCTGACTGGGGAGGAGAAGGAACTCTACCGTCTCCTACCTGTTCTAGTGTCTGACTGGGGAGGAGAAGGAACTCTACTGTCTCCTACCTGTTCTAGAGTCTGAATGGGGAGGAGAAGGAACTCTACCGTCTCCTACCTGTTATAGTGTCTGACTGGGGAGGAGAAGGAACTCTACTGTCTCCTACCTGTTCTAGTGTCTGACTGGGGAGGAGAAGGAACTCTACTGTCTCCTACATGTTCTAGTGTCTGACTGGGGAGAAGGAGCTCTACTGTCTCCTACCTGTTCTAGTGTCTGACTGGGGAGGAGAAGGAACTCTACTGTCTCCTACCTGTTCTAGTGTCTGACTGGGGAGAAGGAACTCTACTGTCTCCTACCTGTTCTAGTGTCTGACTGGTGAGGAGAAGGAACTCTACTGTCTCCTACCTGTTCTAGTGTCTGACTTGGTGAGGAGAAGGAACTCTACTGTCTCCTACCTGTTCTAGTGTCTGACTGGTGAGGAGAAGGAATTCTGCCGTCTCCTACCTGTTCTAGTGTCTGACTGGGGAGGAGAAGGAACTCTACTGTCTCCTACCTGTTCTAGTGTCTGACTGGGGAGGAGAAGGAACTCTACCGTCTCCTACCTGTTCTAGTGTCTGACTGGGGAGGAGAAGGAGCTCTACTGTCTCCTACCTGTTCTTGTGTCTGACTGGGGAGGTGAAGGAACTCTACCGTCTCCTACCTGTTCTAGTGTCTGACTGGTGAGGAGAAGGAGCTCTACTGTCTCCTACCTGTTCTAGTGTCCGACTGGGGAGGAGAAGGAACTCTACCGTCTTCTACCTGTTCTAGTGTCTGACTGGGGAGGAGAAGGAACTCTACTGTCTCCTACCTGTTCTAGTGTCTGACTGGGGAGGAGAAGGAACTCTACCGTCTCCTACCTGTTCTAGTGTCTGACTGGGGAGGAGAAGGAGCTCTACTGTCTCCTACCTGTTCTTGTGTCTGACTGGGGAGGAGAAGGAACTCTACCGTCTCCTACCTGTTCTAGTGTCTGACTGGTGAGGAGAAGGAACTCTACTGTCTCCTACCTGTTCTAGTGTCCGACTGGGGAGGAGAAGGAACTCTACCGTCTTCTACCTGTTCTAGTGTCTGACTGGGGAGGAGAAGGAACTCTACTGTCTCCCACCTGTTCTAGAGTCTGACTGGGGAGGAGAAGGAACTCTACTGTCTCCTACCTGTTCTAGTTTCTGACTGGGGAGGAGAAGGAACTCTACTGTCTCCTACCTGTTCTAGTTTCTGACTGGGGAGGAGGAGAGAGTCTACGGTCTCCTACCTGTTCTAGTGTCTGACTGGTGAGGAGAAGGAACTCTACCGTCTCCTACCTGTTCTAGTGTCTGACTGGGGAGGAGAAGGAACTCTACCATCTCCTACCTGTTCTAGCGTCTGACTGGGGAGGAGAAGGAACTCTACCGTCTCCTACCTGTTCTAGTGTCTGACTGGGGAGGAGAAGGAACTCTACTGTCTCCTACCTGTTCTAGTGTCTGACTGGGGAGGTGAAGGAATTCTACTGTCTCCTACCTGTTCTAGTGTCTGACTGGGGAGGAGAAGGAACTCTACCGTCTCCTACCTGTTTGAGAGTCTGACAGGGGAGGAGAAGGAACTCTACTGTCTCCTACCTGTTCTAGAGTCTGACTGGGGAGATGAGACTCCATCAAGGACAAGTTATACTTTTGTTCGGCCATGTTGCGCATCTCGCCGTATGTCTTCCAGTCGTGGAGTGCCACAGTCGTCAGGTTGTAGAAGGTTCTGTTCAGGTAGTGCTCCACAGTTGCTGAGTAGGGAGAGATCAGACATAAATATCTTAAAATAAATTTGAGAAAGTCAATCTATTTGTCTTTGTCATCAGAATGAGGAGACTCGGATGGCAGAGGAGGCCTTGACCAATGACGTGGTCGACACATCCGATGTCCTACGACCAAAAACGTATGGTATGTGATCAGTATATCTAGACATGTAATGGAATACCTCTCACACATATTTACTTTATCATAATCATCAATAAACCCTGTTGGATAAAATAAATAAATAAATAAAACCACCAACTCTAGGCTTCAACATTATAATACTACCTTGAGACAAATCATGTCAAATGTATTATATCCACATTGCTGTCCAACCTTTGATGTTGATGTCCCTCTGGAAGAAGCGGATGGGTCTGATCTTGAGGAGATGCGACAGGTCCTTCATCCCGACTTTGAACGGGTTGCGATCATCGAGCTGAAGGTGAAGGTGAATCTGCAGTCGGAGGTCAGTCTCGATGGCACGACATAGAGGGTCAATCAGATGCTGAAAAAAACATGCATCACAAAACTAATAATTGTACTGTGATGTTTACTGACAATGGGTTGAAAACCTTTTGCACCTGAATTTTACTTTGGTTTGTTTGGAAAGATGTTTTATTCTAGTGTCCAATTTCTTTGAATGTTAAAACTGTATGGAACATGATATCCTTTCAGCATTACTTGAAAAGCATAGTCGTCGCTTACAGCAAGCATGGGTTGCTAAAGACCTATTGTAACCAGGATCTTCACGGGTCCACGCTTGCCAGTTCCCAGTATCGTCACATCATGTGCTTCTATCATATGCAGTGAGCCAGTGAATGTTGTTTTGGGGTAAGATGACATATAATTGTGTGAGATTTCTCCCTATACTGACACCTGTGGTACACATGTGGCATTTGCTATTCATGTGGAAGACCCGGCTTGGATTCCCCACATGGGTACAGGGTGTGAAACCCATCTCTAGTGTCTCGCCATGAAATTGGTGGAACATTGCAAAACAAGGCATGAACCAATACTCACTCTCAATGTACACACAACCACCTCACATACCTCTTGCACCTACACTGACACACACACCAGCTGACACACCACCTATACTGACACACCCAATCACCTGACACACCGCCTCACACACACACCACCTCACCGAACCATTACACACTTGACACACACAACCATCTCACACAACCGCCTCACATACCACCTGACACACACAACCACCTCACACACACAACCTCACACACAACATTACACACACAACCACCTCACACACACACAACCACCTCACAAACAACCTCACACACAACCACCTCACACACCACATCACACCGCTCACACACACACTCATCTATCACACAATCACCTCACAAACCACCTCACACACACTCATCTCACACACACAACCACCTCACACACCACATTACACACACAACCACCTCACACACACACAACCACCTCACACACACACAACCACCTCACACACCACATCACACACACAAACCACCGCTCACACACACACTCATCTCACACACAATCACCTCACAAACCACCTCACACACACTCATCTCACACACACAACCACCTCACACACCACATTACACACACAACCACCTCACACACACACAACCACCTCACACACCACATTACACACACAACCACCTCACACACACACAACCATCTCACACACACACACAACCACCTCACAAACAACCTCACACACACAGCCACCTCACACACCACATCACACACACAAACCACCGCTCACACACACACTCATCTCACACACAACCACCTCACACACACTCCTCTCACACACACAACCACCTTACACACCTCACACACACAACCACCTCACACACCACATTACACACACAACCACCTCACACACTCACAACCACCTCACACACCACATTACACACACAACCACCTCACACACACACAACCACCTCACAAACAACCTCACACACACAACCACCTCACACACACACACTCATCTCACACACACACACCACCTCACATACACACCACCTCACACACACAACCACCTCACACACCACATCACCCACACAAACCACCTCTCACACACAAACCACCTCACACACACACACTCATCTCACACACACACACCACCTCACATACACACCACCTCACACACACAACCACCTCACACACCACATCACCCACACAAACCACCTCTCACACACAAACAACCTCACACACACACACTCATCTCACACACACACACACTCCCCTCACATACACACCACCTCACACACACAACCACCTCACTAACATGTCAGGGTCCGGCCTACCTCCTGAACCTGCAGTGTCACCTCCTTGTCAAACGAGTCCAGGAGGTCTTGAGGTGAATTGAGGTGACGGACTTTCTGCATCGGCAACACACAGTCCCGCATAGCTCCGAACATGTACTGCAATAAGTAACACCAACTAGTTAACAATACAACGAAATGGGACTGCTGAGTGAGTGAGTGAGTGAGTGAGTGAGTGAGTGAGTGAGTGAGTGACAAATTCTCTCCCAAACTTAAGTATTCCCCACAGCAAGTTGCCAAGCTCTGCCCTGTGCTGTCCAGTGCCCCGCCCCTTCTCTGCCCCATGCCATACCCCCTGCTCTGCCCCGTGCCCAGCTCTGTCAAGTGCCCCGCCCCCTGCTCTCCCCCCTGCTCTGCCCAGTGCCCCGCCCCTTCTCTGCCCCATGCCCTGCCCCATGCCCTGTGCCCAGCTCTGCCTAGTGCCCTGCCCCCTGCTCTGCCTTGTGCTCTGTCCAGTGCCCCGCCCCTTCTCTGCCCCATGCCCAGCTATGCCTAGTGCCCCGCCCCTCCCCTGCTCTGCCCAGTGCCCGCCCCCTGCTCTGCCCAGTTCCCCGCGCTCTGCGCTGTGCTCTGTCCAGTGCCCCGCCCTCTGCTCTGCCCCGTGCCCTGCCCCACAGTGTAGGAGGCAAGGATGCTGTTTTTGTTTTGTTTGTTTGTTTGTTTGTTTGTTGTTTAACGCAACACTCAGCAATAGTCCAGCTTTATGACGTCAGTCTGTAAATAATCGAGTCTGGACCAGACAACCCAGTGATTGATATCATGAGCATCGGTCCATGCAAATGGGATACGATGACATGCTTCAAACAAGTCAGTGAGCCTGACCACCCGATCCATTAGTCGCCTCTTAGGACAAGCATGGATTAGTGAAGACCTATTCCAACCCGGATCTGTACTCACGTGTATCCGGTGTGTGTCGGTGACATTGTCACACACATCCGTGAGGTACAGCGGGAAGATGACTCTGTGCCAGTAGATGAAGCTGCAGTCACACGCTCCCCGTAATCTGCAACCAGGAGTCACATCTCAAGTAGAACTACGCCTTTCCCAAGTACCGTTCTTTCTCTAACATGCCAGACTTCCAATAGCACCATGCCTCTAATACAAAGTGGGTCAAAACCAAATTGACAGAATAGAGGCCAGGTGTCTTCAGAAATTTGGATCTAATAAAACAGTAATGACTGGTCCCCTGTGAGGACATAACAGATAATGACCACTCCCCAACTCCAGTCAACTTACTTCAGTCACTCCAATCTATCAGGAAGCAGACATGTTGGGTCATGGCAAACACTGGCCCCGGCCTTGAAATTAGTTTGTTTTTGTTTTAAAGCCACACTCAGCAATATTCCAGCTTTATGATTGCAGTCTGTAAATAATCCAGTCTGGGCCAGACAATCCAGTGATTGACATTGTGAGTATTGATCCATGCAATTGCGATACGATGACATGCATCAACCAAGTCAGCAAGCCTGACCACCTGATCCTGTAAGTCGCCTCTTACGACAAGCATAGTCGCTTTTTACGTCAAGCTTGGGTTGCTGAAGACCTATTCTACCCCGGATCTTCACGGGGGGAGACAAGCATGGATTGCTGAAGACCTATTCTACCCTGGATCTTCACGGCGTCCTTGACATTAGACCTTGTGAAGCCAGACCACAATAGTTAGCTGCATGTTACTGCGTTGTTGTAGGTACTGATGTCTGGGTCAGCCTTTGTGTTTCAATCAGAGAATGAACACATAACAACAGACAGTGTTATCTAGTTGTGAAACTAGTTGCTTCTTTCAGTCACGAGAGTGAAATGTTTCACATCAAGTACAGGGACTTGAATGTTTGTATATTTCCAATCATTGCTGCTGCTCTTTGCTGCAACAAACGACCTTGAGGTGATGCAAATAACTGCTCTCTTCTACATCAGAGAGGAATATTTAATGTTTCAGCTTAAAGGATATTTTGTGGATCCTGGTTCACATGACATTGAGATGACCTTGACATGGCCTTGAGACGGCCTTTGATGTGATGATCTTACTTTTCTCTCAATTCACTGATGACTTCCAGTTTCCTCATTGTCTCCGACAAACCATTCATCTCATCATCCTTGAAGGATTTCTGGAACATCGAAGACATGTATTGCTTGAAACACTGAACAGGAAGCCCAAGTTAAGTAAGGATGTATAGTCACACCATGGAGGCCTGTGAGGAAATCAGAAGCTCTGTGGTCTTGTGGACAGAGCTTCTGCCCAGAGTGTGGAAGGTCATGAGTTCCATCCCCGGACATGTCATACTGACAATAAAAGAGTATTTGTTGTTACCATGCCTAGCGATCAGCAATAAGGAAATAAAACAAGGACTGGTCGGCTCAGAGTCAGTATACTGTGTCCGAGTGGGGTATCCATGTTAAAACTGTGGTATGGTACCTCAGTGGGCTAGCACTATAAAGCTATCATTAGTCTGGGCTAGTACAGGCTGCCACACACACACACACACACACACACTGGTCAGCTCGGGGTCAGTATACTGTGTCCGAGTGGGGTATCCATGTTAAAACTGTGGCATGGTACCTCAGTGGGCTAGCACTATAAAGCTATCATTAGTCTGGGCTAGTACAGGCTGCCACGCACACGCACACACACACACACACACACACACACACACACACACACACTGGTCAGCTCTGGATCAGTATACTGTGTGTGAGTGGGGTATCCATGTTAAAACTGTGACCTCAGAAGGCTAGCAATATAAAGCCATCATTAGTCCAGACTAGTACAAGCAACCACAGATGTGTTCATGCGCTTCGATATAAAAGTGGAATAATCTTGAATACCACATTAAACCACATTTCACCTTCCCTTGTAACCAACTCATAGGGATCTACACTCTCAGAGAACAACACACACAGTAACGTCTTGTCCACATCGGTTCTGTTGACAAGCTGGGGACTTATTCTTACCCAGAACTCCCACCAGGAATCACACTCCAACATCATCAACAAATGTCATATGCATAAATAAACATACAAACAAAACAATAGCAGTTGTATTTATTCTTCTGAACTGATGTTAGGGTTATATGTCATTACTGCTAAATATTTCATTGAAACTAATGAATCTGCTTTCATTGTATAAGCAAGCCGAACCTAGCAATGACATTGCTACGTACCAACAATTTCTACAAATGTTTCACATCTGACAGAGCTGACCAAAACGTCTATGACACTGACAGAGCTAACCCTGAACGTCTATGACACTGACAGAGCTAACCCTGAATGTCTATGACATCTGACAGAGCTCATCAAAACGTCTATGACACTGACAGAGCTAACCCTGAACGTCTATGACACTGACAGAGCTAACCCTGAACGTCTATGACATCGACAGAGCTCATCAAAACGTCTATGACACTGACAGAGCTAACCCTGAACGTCTATGACATCGACAGAGCTCATCAAAACGTCTATGACATCGACAGAGCTAACCCTGAACGTCTATGACATCGACAGAGCTCATCAAAACGTCTACGACATCGACAGAGCTAACCCTGAACGTCTATGACATCGACAGAACTAACCCTGAACGTCTATGACATCTGACAGAGCTAACCCTGAACGTCTATGACATCGACAGAGCTCATCAAAACGTCTATGACATCAACAGAGCTAACCCTGAACGTCTATGACATCTGACAGAGCTAACCCTGAACGTCTATGACATCTGACAGAACTAACCCTGAACGTCTATGACATCTGACAGAGCTAACGTTGAACGTCTATGACATCTGACAGAGCTAACCCTGAACGTCTATGACATCTGACAGTGTTAACTGTGAACGTTTATGACATATGACAGTGTTAACTGTGAACGTTTATGACATTTGACAGTGTTAACTGTGAACGTTTATGACATCTGACAGTGTTAACTGTGAATGTTTATGACATCTGACAGTGTTAACTGTGAACGTTTATGACATCTGACAGTGTTAACTGTGAACGTTTATGACATCTGACAGTGTTAACTGTGAATGTTTATGACATCTGACAGTGTTAACCGTGAACCTCTATGACATGACAGTGTTAACCATGAACGTCTATGACATCTGACAGTGTTAACTGTGAACGTTTATGACATATGACAGTGTTAACTGTGAACGTTTATGACATATGACAGTGTTAACTGTGAACGTTTATGACATCTGACAGTGTTAACTGTGAACGTTTATGACATCTGACAGTGTTAACTATGAACCTCTATGACATCTGACAGAGCTTACCTTGAACGTCTATGACATCTGACAGTGTTAACCGTGAACATCTATGACATCTGACAGTGTTAACTGTGAACGTTTATGACATATGACAGTGTTAACTGTGAACGTTTATGACATCTGACAGTGTTAACTGTGAACGTTTATGACATCTGACAGTGTTAACTGTGAACGTTTATGACATCTGACAGTGTTAACTGTGAATGTTTATGACATCTGACAGTGTTAACTATGAACCTCTATGACATCTGACAGTGTTAACTATGAACCTCTATGACATCTGACAGTGTTAACCGTGAACGTTTATGACATCTGACAGTGTTAACTGTGAACGTTTATGACATATGACAGTGTTAACTGTGAACGTTTTATGACATATGACAGTGTTAACTGTGAACGTTTATGACATTTGACAGTATTAACTGTGAACGTTTATGACATCTGACAGTGTTAACTGTGAATGTTTATGACATCTGACAGTGTTAACTATGAACCTCTATGACATCTGACAGTGTTAACTATGAACCTCTATGACATCTGACAGTGTTAACCGTGAACGTCTATGACATCTGACAGAGCTAACCGTGAACGTCTATGACATCTGACAGAGCTTACCTTGAACGTCTATGACAACTGACAGAGCTAACCGTGAACGTCTATGACATCTGAGAGAGCTTACCTTGAACGTCTATGTCATCTGACAGTGTTAACCGTGAACATCTATGACATCTGACAGTGTTAACTGTGAACGTTTATGACATATGACAGTGTTAACTGTGAACGTTTATGACATCTGACAGTGTTAACTGTGAACGTTTATGACATCTGACAGTGTTAACTGTGAACGTTTATGACATCTGACAGTGTTAACTGTGAACGTTTATGACATCTGACAGTGTTAACTGTGAATGTTTATGACATCTGACAGTGTTAACTATGAACCTCTATGACATCTGACAGTATTAACTATGAACGTTTATGACATCTGACAGTGTTAACTGTGAATGTTTATGACATCTGACAGTGTTAACTATGAACCTCTATGACATCTGACAGTGTTAACTATGAACCTCTATGACATCTGACAGTGTTAACTATGAACCTCTATGACATCTGACAGTGTTAACCGTGAACGTCTATGACATCTGACAGAGCTAACCGTGAACATCTATGACATCTGACAGAGCTAACCTTGAACGTCTATGACATCTGACAGAGCTAACCGTGAACGTCTATGACATCTGACAGAGCTAACCGTAAACGTCTATGACATCTGACAGTGTTAACTGTGAATGTTTATGACATCTGACAGTGTTAACTGTGAACGTTTATGACATATGACAGTGTTAACTGGGAACGTTTATGACATCTGACAGTGTTAACTGTGAACGTTTATGACATCTGACAGTGTTAACTGTGAATGTTTATGACATCTGACAGTGTTAACTATGAACCTCTATGACACCTGACAGTGTTAACTATGAACCTCTATGACATCTGACAGTGTTAACCGTGAACGTCTATGACATCTGACAGAGCTAACCGTGAACGTCTATGACATCTGACAGAGCTAACCTTGAACGTCTATGACATCTGACAGAGCTAACCGTGAACGTCTATGACATCTGACCGAGGTAACCGTGAACGTCTATGACATCTGGCAGAACTAACCGTGAATGTCTATGACATCTGACAGATCTAACTGTGAACGTCTACGACATCTGACAGAGCTAAACCTGAACGTCCATGACATCTGGCAGAACTAACCGTGAACGTCTATGACATCTGACAGGGCTAACCCTGAACGTCTATGACATCCGGCAGAACTAACCGTGAAGGTCTATAACATATGACAGAACAAACTGTGAACGCCTATGACATCTGACAGAACTAACTGTGAACGTCCATGACATCTGGCAGAACTAACCGTGAACGTCCATGACATCTGGCAGAACTAACCGTGAAGGTCCATGACATCTGACAGAACTAACTGTGAACGTCTATGACATCTGACAGAGCTAACCGTGAATGTCTATGACATCTGGCAGAACTAACCGTGAACGTCCATGACATCTGGCAGAACTAACCCTGAACGTCCATGACATCTGGCAGAACTAACTGTGAACGTCCATGACATCTGAAAGAGCTAACCGTGAACGTCTATGACATCTGACTGAGGTAACAGTGAACGTCTATGACATCTGACAGAGCTAACCGTGAATGTCTATGACATCTGACTGAGGTAACCGTGAACATCTATGCCATCTGACAGAGCTAACCGTGAATTTCTATGACATCTGACAGAGATAACTGTGAACGTCCATGACATCTGACAGAGCTAACCGTGAATGTCCATGACATCTGACAGAGATAACTGTGAACGTCTATGCCATCTGACAGAGCTAACTGTGAACGTCTATGCCATCTGACAGAGCAACCAGTGAACGTCTATGACATCTGACAGAGCTAACCGTGAATGTCCATGACATCTGGCAGAACTAACCGTGAATGTCTATGACATCTGACAGAGCAACCAGTGAACGTCAATGACATCTGACAGAGCTACCAGTGAACGTCCATGACATCTGATAGACCTAACCATGAACGTCTATGACATCTGAGAGAGCTAACCATGAACGTCAATGACATCTGACAGAGCTAACAGTGAACATCTATGACATCTGACAGAGCTAACCCTGAGCCTCTATGACATCTGGCAGAACTAACTGTCAACGTTTATGACATCTGACAGAGCTAACCGTGAATGTCCATGACATCTGGCAGAACTAACCGTGAACGTCTATGACATATGACAGAGCAACCAGTGAACTTCCATGACATCTGACAGAGGTAACCCTGAACGCCAATGACATCTGACAGAGCTAACCGCGAAGGTCCATGACATCTGACAGAGCTAACCGTGAAGGTCTATGACATCTGACAGAGCTAACAGTGAAGGTCTATGACATCTGACAGAGCTAACAGTGAACGTCTATGACATCTGACAGAGGTAACCGTGAACGTCTATGACATCTGACAGAGCTAACCTTGAAGGTCTATGACATCTGACAGAGCTAACCCTGAACGTCTATGACATCTGACAGAGCTAACCCTGAACGTCTATGACATCTGACAGAGCTAACCCTGAACGTCCATGACATCTGACAGAGCTAACCCTGAACGTCCATGACATCTGACAGAGCTAACAGTGAAGGTCTATGACATCTGACAGAGCTAACCGTGAAGGGACGTGCTGCTCACTTACCATCTTTGTGCCCACAGCAAGGGCCAGTTTAGCAATCAGTCTCCTTTCTTTGGTACCTTAGAACATGACAAGATATCTTTCCTCAGTTCATGAAAACACAGGTACATCAAACAAGTTGATATTTCATGTTAGAGATGAGTGGGCTGAGGACTTTTGTCTTCTTTAATCGAGAGTCTTCCTAACATTACTTTCGTGGTAGTTTATATAAATATTTTAGGAATAAATGCAATTTTACCATTTTACAAAATTAATTATACAAATTACTTCAGACACATGTTCCACTGATGTGAATATTGAACAAAGTGAGCACATCACAGCATGTATTTCCTGAGAAGAGTTGTCAACACTAAAATCAGTAAAAATAGTTGCAGTCATCAAGTTGTGACATGATTCAAGACAAATGATCAGCTTTAAAGGCAGAAGTCTATGGCCAAATGAAGGGCCTCGGGAGACGACATGTTGTACCTGGTCCGTTGAGGGCTGACTCGGCGAGCACGAGAGCTGACAGGACGTCCAGTCTCCTCTCACTGTATCGCTTGTCAGAGGTGATCCTTTTCTGGAAGAGTGAGTGAGTGAGTGAGTGAGTGAGTGAGTGAGTGAGTGAGTGAGTGAGTGAACGGGGTTTAACATAGCTTTTAAAGGTATATAATTCCTATGACATAGTGTCAGTGTTTCATCAATCTGGATATGGAGTAACAGCAATCTGAAGCATGAACTGAGTCACTCTAAGACTGTAAGGAAGTCAAGAGTGACGAGGTTTGACCATCTAATACTCGGTGAATGCACCAGACAAACCTAGGACCCAACTCCTAGTGTATTCAACCCTTGACAGGTGAGTCCTGGTATGGATAAACCCTAAATGTCATGAACTGTTACCCCACAGGGTTTAGACCACAAGCCTGAAAATGAGCTGCCATTACTTTGATTCTCACAAAGGAATAGTTCAATCTTCAAGATAATGTTACTTCAATCTTTCAAGATCTTTACAACATTTCCTGTACAACTACAAGGAAGAGAAAAAACATGGAAATCATGAATACAAAAGTCTAGAAAGAAATATTTGAAATAATCCTGTCCTCACCTTGGCTGTCCCGATAGCACTGAGAGCCAGGAAACTGAGGTGCTGAATCACATGGTTCATGGACTCCGCGATCAGCATTGTGCGCCGATGGAACGTATGTTCTATAGCCTGAAAGTCAGATCAGAGAGCTCACGTAGTAAGCAGGAATTAATGGTTACCTGCAGAATTATTCCTTGTTTCTTGTCTGTAACATTCCTATTTGTTGTTAAGCCCATAACATTCCTATTTGTTAAGCCCATAACATTCCTATTTGTTGTTAAGCCCATAACATTCCTATTTGTTGTTAAGCCCATAACATTCCTATTTGTTAAGCCCATAACATTCCTATTTGTTGTTAAGCCCATAACATTCCTATTTGTTGTTAAGCCCATAACATTCCTAATTGTTGTTAAGCCCAAAACATTCCTATTTGTTCAGCCAATAACATTCCTATTTGTTGTTGAGCCCATGACATTCCTATTTGCTGTTTAGCCTATATCATTCCTAGTAATCCTATAACATTCCTAATGGTTGAGCCCATAACATTCCTATTTGTTGTTAAGCCCATAACATTTCTATTTGCTGTTAAGCCCATAACATTCCTATTTGATGTTAATCCCATAACATTCCTAATTGTTGAGCCCATAACAATCCTAATTGTTGTAAGCCCAAAACATTCCTATTTGTTGTTGAGCCCATGACATTCCTATTTGTTAAGCCCATAACATTCCTATTTGCTGTTAAGCCCATAACATTCCTATTTGATGTTAATCCCATAAAATTCCTATTTGTTGAGCCCATAACAATCCTAATTGTTGTTAAGCCCAAAACATTCCTATTTGTTCAGCCATAACATTCCTATTTGCTGTTAAGCCTATATCATTCCTAGTAATCCCATAACATTCCTAATGGTTGTTCATCCCATAAAATTCCTATTTGTTGTTGAGCCCATGACATTCCTATTTGTTAAGCCCATAACATTCCTATTTGCTGTTAAGCCCATAACATTCCTATTTGATGTTAATCCCATAACATTCCTATTTGTTGAGCCCATAACAATCCTAATTGTTGTTAAGCCCAAAACATTCCTATTTGTTCAGCCATAACATTCCTATTTGCTGTTAAGCCTATATCATTCCTAGTAATCCCATAACATTCCTAATGGTTGTTCATCCCATAAAATTCCTATTTGTTGTTGAGCCCATGACATTCCTAGTTCTTCAGCAAATAACATTCCTATTTGATTTTCAGCCTATATCCATCCTAGTTATCCCATAACATTCCTATTTGTTGAGCCCATAACATTCCAATTTGTTGTTAAGCCTAAAATATTCCTATTTGTTGTTGAGCTCATGACATTCCTATTTGCTGTTAAGCCTATATCATTCCTAGTAATCCAATAACATTCCTAATGGTTGTTCATCCCATAAAATTCCTACTTGTTGTTGAGCCCATGACATTCCTAGTTGTTAAGCAAATAACATACCTATTTGATTTTCAGCCTATATCATTCCTAGTTATCCCATAAAATTCCTATTTGTTGGGCCCATAACGTTCCTAATTGTTGAGCCCATAACATTCCTATTTGTTGTTAAGCCTAAAACATTCCTATTTGTTGTTAAGCCAATAACATTCCTATTTGTTGAGCCCATAACATTCCTAATTGTTGTTAAGCCCAAAACATTCCTATTTGTTCAGCCATAGCATTCCTATTTGCTGTTAAGCCTATATCATTCCTAGTAATCCCATAACATTCCTAATGATTGTTCATTCCATAACATTCCTATTTGTTGTTTAACCCATGACATTCCTAGTTGTTCAGCACATAACATTCCTATTTGCTGTTAAGCCTATATGATTCCTAGTTATCCAAATACATTCCTATTTGTTGGGCCCATAACATTCCTAATTTTTGTTGAGCCCATGACATTCCTAGTTGTTAAGCCCATACCATTCCTATTTGTTGTTGAACCCTTGACATTCCTATTTGTTAAGCCCATAACATTCCTTTTTGTTGTTAAGCCTAAAACATTCCTATTTGTTGTTGAGCCCATGACATTCCTATTTGTTAAACCCACAACATTCCTTTTTGTTGTTAAGCCCATAACATTCCTAGTAATCCCATAATCCTATTTGTTGAGGCCGTAACATTCCTATTTGCTGTTAAGCCTATATCATTCCTAGTAATCCAATAACATTCCTATTTGTTGAGCCCATAACATTCCTATTTGTTGTTGAGCCCATAACATTCCTATTTGTTGTTAAGCCCATAACATTCCTATTTGTTGAGCACATGACATTCCTAGTTGTTAAGCCCATAACATTCCTAGTTGTTGAGCCAATGACATTCCTATTTGTTGTTAAGCCAATGACATTCCTATTTGTTGTTGTGCCCATAACATTCCTATTTTTTGTTGAGCCCATAACATTCCTATTTGTTGTTGAGCCCATAACATTCCTATTTGTTGTTAAGCCTATAACATTCATATTTGTTGAGCACATGACATTCCTAGTTGTTAAACCCAAAACATTCCTACTTGTTTTTGAGCCCATGACATTCCTAGTTGTTGAGCCAATGGCATTCCTATTTGTTGTGAAGCCCATGACATTCCAATTTGTTAAGCCCATGACATTCCTCTCTGTTTAGTGCATAACCTTCATAGATTCATATTGCATTATTAAATCAGACTTGAGGGCAGTAATCAATTCACTGGCGGTAAGATGATGATACCTTCAGCAGCTCCACGAGTCGACAAAGGGAGAGCACTGCTGTCTTGGTCATGGGTTTCTGTAGGGCTACGTGCAGGTTCATGACAGTCCTGACAAGGTGACTCAGGTTATAGGCGTACAGCAGGCCCTGTCAACACACAGGGGGGAGCCAGGTTAACAGCCAATCCTTAGGTGCTCAGTGAAAACATAGTCATGGACCTAACGGATAGAATGAAGACGTTACAGATTCATCATTCAGACATCATTATCCCTCTATTACAAAACAAGTTTTCGTATTTTTGCTGACAGGGTGCTTTTGTGAATCATGTTGCCCACATCAGTAGAAATATTTTCTGTGAAACAGTGTATCTGTGACACGTGACTGTGTACTTGTGACTATGTACCTGTGACACGTGACTAAGTACCTGTCACTATGTACCTGTGACATGTCACTATGAACCTGCGACATGTGACTATGTACCTGTGACACAAGACTATGTACATGTGACTATGTACCTGTGACATGTGACTATGAACCTGCGACATGTGACTATGTACCTGTGACATGTGACTATGTACCTAAGACATGAGACTATGTACTTGTGACTATGTACCTGTGACACGAGACTATGTACCTGTGACACGTGACTATGTACCTGCTACATGTGACTATGTACCTGTGACATGTGACTATGTACTTGTGACACATGACAATGTACCTGCTACATGTGACTATGTACCTGTGACATGTGACTATGTACCTGTGACAAGAGACTATGTACATGTGACTATGTACCTGTTACACGTGACTATGTACCTGTGACACGTGACTATGTACCTGTGACATGTGACTATGTACCTAAGACATGAGACTATGTACTTGTGACTATGTACCTGTGACACGAGACTATGTACTTGTGACACATGACAATGTACCTGCTACATGTGACTATGTACCTGTGACATGTGACTATGTACCTGTGACAAGAGACTATGTACATGTGACTATGTACCTGTTACACGTGACTATGTACCTGTGACACGTGACTATGTACCTGTGACATGTGACTATGTACCTAAGACATGAGACTATGTACTTGTGACTATGTACCTGTGACATGTGACTATGTACCTGTGACATGTGACTATGTACCTGTGACACGTGACTTTGTAACTGTGACATGTGACTATGTACCTGTTACACGTGACTATGTACCTGTGACCCATAATTATGTACCTGAATGAAGAGAACTGCTCTGTTGTTGAGGTCCTCGATGAGGGTGGCCCCACGGGACAGGTTCGACTCCATCCTGACCATCCACGCCGACACCTGCGTGCTGTACGTCTGGATGTCCCTGTACACAATCATCTTACCTCAAACACTGACAAACTGTTGTTCAATGCTGCAGTCATATTACAGCTTTCTATATCATGGTGGCCTGTATATGAGCATCTGGACTAGGCAATCCAGTTTCCTCTGACACTGACAAAGATGTTAAATGCTGCAGTCAGCAATATTACAGTTATATCAGCTGGCACACAATAGGCAAGGTCAACCATTTCGCTGAGGACCATATATATAAGATGTTTCCTATAACAAGCCTAAGGGAGTCTGACTCCAGCTGGGCAAGCCTAACTTTGATGGATGTTCCTGAAGCCGATCACCTCACTACACAAACCAGCCGTAACATCCTGTCTCAGTGGGTATACGTCAACATTAGCCCTCACTACACAAACCAGCCATAACATCCTGTCTCAGTGGGTATACATCAACATTAGCCCTCACTACACAAACCAGCTGTAACATCCCATCTCAGTGGGTATTAATCAACATTAGCCCTCACTACACAAACCAGCCGTAACATCCTGTCTCAGTGGGTATACATCAACATTAGCCCTCACTACACAAACCAGCCGTAACATCCTGTCTCAGTGGGTATACATCAACATTAGCCCTCACTACACAAACCAGCCATAACATCCGGTCTCAGTGGCAATATGTCAACATTAGCCTTCCTTCAGTCAACTCATTCCGAATACCATCACAACACAAAAGGGTTAGTGTAGAAACATAAACAAATGGCTTGGAACATGCTGTCACAGATAGCCAACAACAACAACAACAACAACAACAACAACAACAACAACAATCGGCATGCTGACGTCCACTACTGTGTCAAACTTGTGAGGCTGCCATTAATTGATAGATAGATCCATCTAAATGTTCCTATGATAAGTCTCCTGATACAATTCCCAATACACAATGGAAGTGTTAGCACCATAATCATCAGAGCATAATTACCTCAAATATTAAGCCTTGGTAAATATTCCCCCACCCCAACCCTTGGTAAGTTTTTCGTAAATTCGTTCCTATTCTTCAACAAACATTTACATAATGTTTCAAGCAACCCGACCATGATGAAGGACTTGTTGCTTGTTAGTCTCACAGTTGAGGAAACATTACAATGAATCAAAGTAACTACTTATTCAATTCACATTCTAAGTCTCATTTGGGTAATTAATCAATATATTAACTTCTATCAACAGACCTATACGTGTTTAATTAAGACTAATTACTGATTAAGTACGTCAGTACTTCAGTTGTTCTAGTTCTGACTGATGATGTGAAGTCTGCAGGGGAACTTGTGGGAGTGATGGAGTCTCTGTGGCAGGAGCAGCAAGCAGTGGACAACATGAAGAACATGAGGAGATAATAGACTCCAGACTTGTGGGAGTGATGGAGTCTCAGTGGCAGGAGCAGCAAGCAATGGACGACACGGAGCAGGGCTAGACTTAGGCATCACTGAAGCGGGACACAGGCCAGGATGAGGTACGGAGACGAGAGATGCTACTGGGTTGGGTGCACAACACGGAGCAGGGCTAGACTTAGGCATCACTGGGGCGGGACACAGGCCGGGATGAGGTACGGAGACGAGAGATGCTACTGGGTTGGGTTCACAACATGGAGCAGGGCTAGACTTAGGCATCACTGAAGCGGGATACAGGCCAGGATGAGGTACGGAGACGAGAGATGCTACTGGGTTGGGTGCACAACATGGAGCAGGGCTAGACTTAGGCATCACTGAAGCGGGATACAGGCCAGGATGAGGTACGGAGACGAGAGATGCTACTGGGTTGGGTTCAATGCTGCGTTCAACAGTACTCCAGTCACTTGACAGCATGTCAGTGTTGGAGGACAACCTCCAAGTGATGCTAGGCGCAATCTCCTTTAAATCTTATATTTTATACGACTTCATTCCTCTGTGCATGAAGATCTCAGGACACTGACTGGGAGGTTTTTAAGTACGAGTGTGTGAAGTATTCAGACCAACAAATACAACGGGGGAGTTATATGCTCTGTTATATTGTAGTGGATACTTTTTACATCCCGTCATTTCTGTGCACTACAAATGCAGCACCACATTACCGGTACCCACGATGAGCAGTACTAGTTAATATGGATCAAAAAGTTTAGAAAATACAGTATATTGCATGCATATTTTGATCTTGTTGGCAGAGTTTACATATGTAAAATATTAGATATTTCAAAATGAAATTATGAAATTCAAAATTTGCCACTTCATTCTTGTGATCGAAAAAAGCAAACTGTATATGATGTATGGTGAATGGGTCAGGTTCATGACAAATCACAGATGAAAATAAGTTGCAGCAGGTAAGTCAGGCCAATATCCATCACAACTGAGTGCCAGGGCATCTACAGCCAAAACGGTCTATCGAGATATGGTATTGTTCTGTAACAGTTTCCGATTGCTTAGATTGTAATTTCTGAATCAAGCAGTGTAAAAAGCTGAGATCTGATTGGCTCAAGAACCCACAAAGTATCATTTAGATTAGGAGTAAAACTTTGCTAACAAATATTTACCTGATATGATCTCCTGAGGAGGTGTGGTGAGATCTTCACAATGTGAGGAGGTGTGGTGAGATCTTCACAATGTGAGGAGGTGTGGTGAGATCTTCACAATGTGAGGATTGGAGTACAAGGTCTGAGTGACATGAGATTGTGTAGGTCGAACATTTACCATGTTGGAGAAACCCGCCATCATGTTACTGACAAACAAAACTGTACGGATCATCCTCAAGGTGAATCAGGGATTCAAACCAATGATAATAAGATCCTGGTACAACTAAGGGACGTAACTCTGCACAGAGGATTTATGAACCTAAGACCACTTCTACCACTGACCGGTGAGAGGTGATGATCAACAGACAAATCCTCCATGTTAGCTGACAACAACAAGCTGATAAATCAGAAAAAGTGGATGAACTACTACAACATTAAGACAACACAAACTAATTACATGATTAATATTCGTTACCATGGTGACATAAGGGGTTAGTTCAACTCAGCTGGAAACTTAATGTGTTATGTGAAAGAGAGAACTGATGAAGGGGATGCTACTGACTTGACACAGGACCTGGCTATGTGTGTAACCAGACAGAAACCCCTGCACATGGTCCACAGTTGAACAGTCCTAGTACAAGGCCATTCTTGCCATTGAAATATGGAGATGGGTGAGCTGCAGTCCTGACAGTGCAATCAGTATCTCAAGTGAACGGCTGAGTGTATAGCGATGTGTAAGCATGTGTGTATGTCTGCTTCTTCCATTCCTGACTTATGCTTAGACCATCATAAATTACTAGCTAGATTATCATCCCTTGATAACAACTGTCAAGATGGTGCTCACTATTTGGAAAATACAGGAGGGTGTGCAAAGGTAAGTCTGTCCTTTGCCAGAGTCTATGACTCTTCAACAAGATTGTTTGTAGGGAAAGTTAAATTTATAAACGCACGAGTACAACGGAAATAGGTTTGACACAGATACATCCGACTGCTACTATTGAGATCAATGTTTAAATATTATCTTTGTTATTTCAGTCATCTGTTGTTCCTACCAAGGTGTCCAGTCTTCAACTTGACCACTTTCATAGAAAATAAAACATGACAAATAAAAAGCCTCCCTCCCCACTTTTGAAAAAAAAAAGCGGATTTTAATCTAGCAATTAATTTATTATGGCCTTGAGCCATTGTTTTAGAGCTAGCCCACTGAGAAACCAAGTTGCAGTTTAACATGAATACCCCCCACACACCCTGCAGACACTCTGAGCTGACCAGTCCTTGTTTTATCCCCTTAATGCTGAGCCAGGCAGGGTAATAACATGTACCATCTTTTAACATATTTTGGTAAGAGACGACCAGGGGATCGAACCACAGACCTTCCCCTCTTCAGGCAGACACTCTATCCACTACACCACAAAGGCAGGGGGAAAGTCTGTATGATGGCGCATCTAGTGAGTGAGTCTTTCACAACACAGCAACCATTCAGCAACTCCACTGCACCAGAGAAACTGATATATCAGATAAATGACCTGAAAATTCTGAGCTTTGGACATAACAAAATAACATACTAAGCAAGATCAAAGTCGATCTCTGGGAACTAGTCAGTTTGAAAGTAAGTCAGTTTGAATCGATGAGTATTTCAAACAAGGGTCTCCTCTATTCTAAATCTGTCATGATGGTAATCATCTATTGGTCATGACAAGGAACAATCTAATTAAATTCAGATTCTCGCTATCGCTAAACACAGATCTGAGGACATCCCATTACGGGTCATGTCGCGAACTTTGACCCACCACTGAAACGACTAACAAGAAGTCGTCATTAGCCAATTAGCAAGCAGCTTTCTCGAGCTTTACGGCATTCGTTTCAACCTGCGGCTTCCATTTCAGACTACGCTTGAAAAATATGTTAACACAGTTCTTGATTAAAATTTTGAAAACTGAACAAATGAACATTCCGGAATATCTAATATATGGTAGCGATTGTATGGCAGTGCATCCCACGTACTGTGCAACGCCTCCTCCGTTCAGATGTTTATCCCACAGAGGCCAGAGACAGATGATGATTTAGATGGAGCCAGTCCTACTGGCAGTAACTGTCGGTCGGAATACCCCGTGTTAACTTTTTCCAGGTTTCATCATCTGATAAGCGACGCTTTGATTGGTCGGATGAAAAGTCCTTCTGACATGACCCGTAATGGGATGTCCTTAGATCTTTGTTTTGCAGCAGCGAGAATGTAGATCTGATTTTAATGAGGTTGGAAAAGGAACAATGTTTATGTTTATCAAAAACAAGGTCAAGGTCAAGGAAAGAGAGGCAGAAAAATATGCAAGGAAAACTTATTCCAATAAATGTGTGGACATTGCCAGCAGTGTCAGTAGCATCCCCCAAGGACACTAAGACAGTGATGATGCAGGGGGTACCCACCTGTGTCTGCTGCACGGAGGAGGAAGAGAGAGTGAACATGGTTAGATGAGGCCAGCGATGATCATGATGATGGTGAGGTACTGTCATACATTTGGCTAGATCTTTGGCATATATATGGCTAGATCTTTGTCATACACCTGGCTAGATCCTTGCCCTACAACTGGCGAGATCTTTGCCATACACCACGATCTTTATCATACACCAAGCTAAATCTTTGTCATACACCAAGCTAGATCTTTGTCATACACCGAGATCTTTGTCACATACCTAGCTAGATCTCTGTCATACACCTGGCTAGATCTTTGTCATACACCTAGCTACATTTTTGTCATTGGCTTGGCTAATCTTGTCATACACCTAGCTAGATCTAGTTACAGGTTACAGACAGTTATGACAAAGTCACGAGTTCATATGGGTCTCGACACAACAACGACCTACTTGGTGAGCATCTGTGTCCGTGCCGTGAGCCAGGCAGTCTGGGAGGGGCCGACGGCCGACTGGGCCTTGCGGTCCAACAGCTGGGCGAGGTTGGGCATCTTGGTTGTGAGGAAGTTATTAGGAAACCACACCACGTTGCCAATCAGATGGATGCAGGGCACCTGTCCAGTCGAGGATGGATGGTCAGTTTCAGCTGAACAGTTGTGTTCAACTGTGTTTCAAGATAATGTCTGTCATACAACTCCATATCAGTATCTTGTGGGAGGAAAGTTCAAAGTGTGGCAGACAGTAACATTTACTTTATTTAACCTATGAGCACCAGTGAGATACTGAAATAGGATCACAGTAAAATTATTTGCTTTTTAAAATTATTTTTTCATGATAAAAATGTCCACTTATCGCCGAATTTGCTCATCTCTTCTTATTCCCAAAACGTAGTGGAAATTTCTTATGTGCATGTATTTCTGACACTCTGGCTGCACTCTGGGTGCTGTAGCTAGTGCCAGGAGAAACAAGGTCTCTTGTGTGCATGTATTTCTGAAATCTGGCTGCTGTAGCTAGAGCCAGGAGAAACAAGGTCTCTTGTGTGCATGTATTTCTGAAATCTAGCTGCTGTAGCTAGAGCCAGGAGAAACAAGGTCTCTTGTGTGCATGTATTTCTGAAATCTAGCTGCTGTAGCTAGAGCCAGGAGAAACAAGGTCTCTTGTGTGCATGTATTTCTGACACTCTGGCTGCTGTAGCTAGAGCCAGGAGAAACAAGGTCTCTTGTGTGCATGTATTTCTGACACTCTGGCTGCTGTAGCTAGAGCCAGGAGAAACAAGGTCTCTTGTGTGCATGTATTTCTGACACTCTGGCTGCTGTAGCTAGAGCCAGGAGAAACAAGGTCTCTTGTGTGCAGGTATTTCTGACACTCTGGCTGCTGTAGCTAGAGCCAGGAGAAACAAGGTCTCTTGTGTGCATGTATTTCTGACACTCTGGCTGCTGTAGCTAGAGCCAGGAGAAACAAGGTCTCTTGTGTGCATGTATTTCTGACACTCTGGCTGCTGTAGCTAGTGCCAGGACAAACAAGGTCTCTTGTGTGCAGGTATTTCTGACACTCTAGCTGCTGTAGCCAGTGCCAGGAGAAACAAGGTCTCTTGTGTGCATGTATTTCTGACACTCTGGGTGCTGTAGCCAGTGCCAGGAGAAACAAGGTCTCTTGTGTGCATGTATTTCTGACACTCTGGCTGCTGTAGCTAGAGCCAGGAGAAACAAGGTCTCTTGTGTGCAGGTATTTCTGACACTCTGGCTGCTGTAGCTAGTGCCAGGAGAAACAAGGTCTCTTGTGTGCAGGTATTTCTGACACTCTGGCTGCTGTAGCTAGTGCCAGGAGAAACAAGGTCTCTTGTGTGCATGTATTTCTGACACTCTGGCTGCTGTAACTAGTGCCAGGAGAAACAAGGTCTCTTGTGTGCAGGTATTTCTGACACTCTGGCTGCTGTAGCTAGAGCCAGGAGAAACAAGGTCTCTTGTGTGCAGGTATTTCTGACACTCTGGCTGCTGTAGCTAGAGCCAGGAGAAACAAGGTCTCTTGTGTGCAGGTATTTCTGACACTCTGGCTGCTGTAGCTAGAGCCAGGAGAAACAAGGTCTCTTGTGTGCATGTATTTCTGACACTCTGGCTGCTGTAGCTAGTGCCAGGAGAAACAAGGTCTCTTGTGTGCATGTATTTCTGACACTCTGGCTGCTGTAGCTAGAGCCAGGAGAAACAAGGTCTCTTGTGTGCAGGTATTTCTGACACTCTGGCTGCTGTAGCTAGAGCCAGGAGAAACAAGGTCTCTTGTGTGCATGTATTTCTGACACTCTGGCTGCTGTAGCTAGTGCCAGGAGAAACAAGGTCTCTTGTGTGCATGTATTTCTGACACTCTGGCTGCTGTAGCTAGAGCCAGGAGAAACAAGGTCTCTTGTGTGCAGGTATTTCTGACACTCTGGCTGCTGTAGCTAGAGCCAGGAGAAACAAGGTCTCTTGTGTGCATGTATTTCTGACACTCTGGCTGCTGTAGCTAGTGCCAGGAGAAACAAGGTCTCTTGTGTGCATGTATTTCTGACACTCTGGCTGCTGTAGCTAGTGCCAGGAGAAACAAGGTCTCTTGTGTGCAGGTATTTCTGACACTCTGGCTGCTGTAAGCTAGTGCCAGGAGAAACAAGGTCTCTTGTGTGCAGGTATTTCTGACACTCTGGCTGCTGTAGCTAGAGCCAGGAGAAACAAGGTCTCTTGTGTGCAGGTATTTCTGACACTCTGGCTGCTGTAGCTAGTGCCAGGAGAAACAAGGTCTCTTGTGTGCATGTATTTCTGACACTCTGGCTGCTGTAGCTAGTGCCAGGAGAAACAAGGTCTCTTGTGTGCAGGTATTTCTGACACTCTGGCTGCTGTAGCTAGTGCCAGGAGAAACAAGGTCTCTTGTGTGCAGGTATTTCTGACACTCTGGCTGCTGTAGCTAGTGCCAGGAGAAACAAGGTCTCTTCTGTGCAGGTATTTCTGACACTCTAGCTGCTGTAGCTAGTGCCAGGAGAAACAAGGTCTCTTGTGTGCATGTATTTCTGACACTCTGGCTGCTGTAGCTAGAGCCAGGAGAAACAAGGTCTCTTGTGTGCAGGTATTTCTGACACTCTGGCTGCTGTAGCTAGAGCCAGGACAAACAAGGTCTCTTGTGTGCATGTATTTCTGACAATCTGGCTGCTGTAGCTAGTGCCAGGAGAAACAAGGTCTCTTGTGTGCAGGTATTTCTGACACTCTGGCTGCTGTAGCTAGTGCCAGGAGAAACAAGGTCTCTTGTGTGCATGTATTTCTGACACTCTGGCTGCTGTAGCTAGTGCCAGGAGAAACAAGGTCTCTTGTGTGCAGGTATTTCTGACACTCTGGCTGCTGTAGCTAGAGCCAGGAGAAACAAGGTCTCTTGTGTGCATGTATTTCTGACACTCTGGCTGCTGTAGCTAGTGCCAGGAGAAACAAGGTCTCTTGTGTGCATGTATTTCTGACACTCTAGCTGCTGTAGCTAGTGCCAGGAGAAACAAGGTCTCTTGTGTGCAGGTATTTCTGACACTCTGGCTGCTGTAGCTAGAGCCAGGAGAAACAAGGTCTCTTGTGTGCAGGTATTTCTGACACTCTGGCTGCTGTAGCTAGTGCCAGGAGAAACAAGGTCTCTTGTGTGCATGTATTTCTGACACTCTAGCTGCTGTAGCTAGTGCCAGGAGAAACAAGGTCTCTTGTGTGCATGTATTTCTGACACTCTGGCTGCTGTAGCTAGAGCCAGGAGAAACAAGGTCTCTTGTGTGCAGGTATTTCTGACACTCTGGCTGCTGTAGCTAGTGCCAGGAGAAACAAGGTCTCTTGTGTGCAGGTATTTCTGACACTCTGGCTGCTGTAGCTAATGCCAGGAGAAACAAGGTCTCTTGTGTGCATGTATTTCTGACACTCTGGCTGCTGTAGCTAATGCCAGGACAAACAAGGTCTCTTGTGTGCATGTATTTCTGACACTCTGGCTGCTGTAGCTAATGCCAGGAGAAACAAGGTCTCTTGTGTGCATGTATTTCTGACACTCTGGCTGCTGTAGCTAATGCCAGGAGAAACAAGGTCTCTTGTGTGCATGTATTTCTGACACTCTGGCTGCTGTAGCTAGTGCCAGGAGAAACAAGGTCTCTTGTGTGCATGTATTTCTGACACTCTGGCTGCTGTAGCTAGTGCCAGGAGAAACAAGGTCTCTTGTGTGCATGTATTTCTGACACTCTGGCTGCTGTAGCTAGTGCCAGGAGAAACAAGGTCTCTTGTGTGCATGTATTTCTGACACTCTGGCTGCTGTAGCTAGTGCCAGGAGAAACAAGGTCTCTTGTGTGCATGTATTTCTGACACTCTGGCTGCAGTAGCCAGTGCCAGGAGAAACAAGGTCTCTTGTGTGCATGTATTTCTGACACTCTGGCTGCTGTAGCTAGTGCCAGGAGAAACAAGGTCTCTTGTGTGCATGTATTTCTGACACTCTGGCTGCTGTAGCTAGTGCCAGGAGAAACAAGGTCTCTTGTGTGCAGGTATTTCTGACACTCTGGCTGCTGTAGCTAGTGCCAGGAGAAACAAGGTCTCTTGTGTGCATGTATTTCTGACCCTCTAGCTGCTGTAGCCAGTGCCAGGAGAAACAAGGTCTCTTGTGTGCATGTATTTCTGACACTCTGGCTGCTGTAGCTAGTGCCAGGAGAAACAAGGTCTCTTGTGTGCATGTATTTCTGACACTCTGGCTGCTGTAGCTAGTGCCAGGAGAAACAAGGTCTCTTGTGTGCATGTATTTCTGACACTCTGGCTGCTGTAGCTAGTGCCAGGAGAAACAAGGTCTCTTGTGTGCATGTATTTCTGACACTCTGGCTGCTGTAGCTAGTGCCAGGAGAAACAAGGTCTCTTGTGTGCATGTATTTCTGACACTCTGGCTGCTGTAGCTAGTGCCAGGAGAAACAAGGTCTCTTGTGTGCATGTATTTCTGACACTCTGGCTGCTGTAGCTAGTGCCAGGACAAACAAGGTCTCTTGTGTGCAGGTATTTCTGACACTCTGGGTGCTGTAGCTAGTGCCAGGAGAAACAAGGTCTCTTGTGTGCAGGTATTTCTGACACTCTGGCTGCTGTAGCTAGAGCCAGGAGAAACAAGGTCTCTTGTGTGCATGTATTTCTGACACTCTGGCTGCTGTAGCTAGTGCCAGGAGAAACAAGGTCTCTTGTGTGCAGGTATTTCTGACACTCTGGCTGCTATAGCTAGAGCCAGGAAAAACAAGGTCTCTTGTGTGCATGTATTTCTGACACTCTAGCTGCTGTAGCTAGTGCCAGGAGAAACAAGGTCTCTTGTGTGCAGGTATTTCTGACACTCTGGCTGCTGTAGCTAATGCCAGGAGAAACAAGGTCTCTTGTGTGCATGTATTTCTGACACTCTGGCTGCTGTAGCTAGTGCCAGGAGAAACAAGGTCTCTTGTGTGCATGTATTTCTGACACTCTGGCTGCTGTAGCCAATGCCAGGAGAAACAAGGTCTCTTGTGTGCATGTATTTCTGACACTCTGGCTGCTGTAGCTAGTGCCAGGAGAAACAAGGTCTCTTGTGTGCAGGTATTTCTGACACTCTGGCTGCTGTAGCTAGTGCCAGGAGAAACAAGGTCTCTTGTGTGAATGTATTTCTGACACTCTGGCTGCTGTAGCTAGTGCCAGGAGAAACAAGGTCTCTTGTGTGCATGTATTTCTGACACTCTGGCTGCTGTAGCTAGTGCCAGGAGAAACAAGGTCTCTTGTGTGCATGTATTTCCGACACTCTGGCTGCAGTAGCTAGTGCCAGGAGAAACAAGGTCTCTTGTGTGCATGTATTTCTGACACTCTGGCTGCTGTAGCTAGTGCCAGGAGAAACAAGGTCTCTTGTGTGCATGTATTTCTGACACTCTGGCTGCTGTAGCTAGTTCCAGGAGAAACAAGGTCTCTTGTGTGCATGTATTTCTGACACTCTGGCTGCTGTAGCTAGTGCCAGGAGAAACAAGGTCTCTTGTGTGCATGTATTTCTGACACTCTGGCTGCTGTAGCTAGTGCCAGGACAAACAAGGTCTCTTGTGTGCAGGTATTTCTGACACTCTGGGTGCTGTAGCCAGTGCCAGGAGAAACAAGGTCTCTTGTGTGCAGGTATTTCTGACAATCTGGCTGCTGTAGCTAGTGCCAGGAGAAACAAGGTCTCTTGTGTGCATGTATTTCTGACACTCTGGCTGCTGTAGCTAGTGCCAGGAGAAACAAGGTCTCTTGTGTGCATGTATTTCTGACACTCTGGCTGCTGTAGCTAGTGCCAGGAGAAACAAGGTCTCTTGTGTGAATGTATTTCTGACACTCTGGCTGCTGTAGCTAGTGCCAGGAGAAACAAGGTCTCTTGTGTGCATGTATTTCTGACACTCTGGCTGCTGTAGCTAGTGCCAGGAGAAACAAGGTCTCTTGTGTGCATGTATTTCCGACACTCTGGCTGCAGTAGCTAGTGCCAGGAGAAACAAGGTCTCTTGTGTGCATGTATTTCTGACACTCTGGCTGCTGTAGCTAGTGCCAGGAGAAACAAGGTCTCTTGTGTGCATGTATTTCTGACACTCTGGCTGCTGTAGCTAGTGCCAGGAGAAACAAGGTCTCTTGTGTGCATGTATTTCTGACACTCTGGCTGCTGTAGCTAGTGCCAGGAGAAACAAGGTCTCTTGTGTGCATGTATTTCTGACCCTCTAGCTGCTGTAGCCAGTGCCAGGAGAAACAAGGTCTCTTGTGTGCATGTATTTCTGACACTCTGGCTGCTGTAGCTAGTGCCAGGAGAAACAAGGTCTCTTGTGTGCATGTATTTCTGACACTCTGGCTGCTGTAGCTAGTGCCAGGAGAAACAAGGTCTCTTGTGTGCAGGTATTTCTGACACTCTGGCTGCTGTAGCTAGTGCCAGGAGAAACAAGGTCTCTTGTGTGCATGTATTTCTGACACTCTGGCTGCTGTAGCTAGCGCCAGGAGAAACAAGGTCTCTTGTGTGCATGTATTTCTGACACTCTGGCTGCTGTCGCTAGTGCCAGGAGAAACAAGGTCTCTTGTGTGCATGTATTTCTGACACTCTGGCTGCTGTAGCTAGTGCCAGGAGAAACAAGGTCTCTTGTGTGCATGTATTTCTGACACTCTGGCTGCTGTAGCTAGTGCCAGGAGAAACAAGGTCTCTTGTGTGCAGGTATTTCTGACACTCTGGGTGCTGTAGCCAGTGCCAGGAGAAACAAGGTCTCTTGTGTGCAGGTATTTCTGACAATCTGGCTGCTGTAGCTAGTGCCAGGAGAAACAAGGTCTCTTGTGTGCATGTATTTCTGACAATCTGGCTGCTGTAGCTAGTGCCAGGAGAAACAAGGTCTCTTGAGTGAATGTATTTCTGACACTCTGGCTGCAGTAGCTAGTGCCAGGAGAAACAAGGTCTCTTGTGTGCATGTATTTCTGACACTCTGGCTGCTGTAGCTAGTGCCAGGAGAAACAAGGTCTCTTGTGTGCAGGTATTTCTGACACTCTGGCTGCTGTAGCCAGTGCCAGGAGAAACAAGGTCTCTTGTGTGCAGGTATTTCTGACACTCTGGCTGCTGTAGCTAGTGCCAGGAGAAACAAGGTCTCTTGTGTGAATGTATTTCTGACACTCTGGCTGCTGTAGCTAGTGCCAGGAGAAACAAGGTCTCTTGTGTGCAGGTATTTCTGACACTCTGGTTGCTGTAGCTAGTGCCAGGAGAAACAAGGTCTCTTGTGTGCATGTATTTCTGACACTCTGGCTGCTGTAGCTAGTGCCAGGAGAAACAAGGTCTCTTGTGTGCATGTATTTCTGACACTCTGGCTGCTGTCGCTAGTGCCAGGAGAAACAAGGTCTCATGTATCAGATGTTTGAACCCAGCTTCTTCTGGTGGTCCGTAAATATCGCTGGTAAGATGGTGCAGCACTATGTCTAAATCCCATGCTTTTTCTGTTGATCCTCAACTTTGTAGGATATCTGTAGGGCTATCAGTTCGGGAACTCCACTGAGCTTTTCTTGCGAGGCTGTTTGTTATATGCACCATAGATGTTTTGAGGGTGGATGATGAAGTAGATTTGGCCAGTTCATGAGCTTTAAAGTTGGTTTTGCTGCTGTTGTGATAAGGTTCTCCCTGGCCAATAAGGCCCAACCAACAGCAGTGGATGGTTCTTGGTATGAATGATCTTCTCTAAAACCAGTGGTATGAGCTGGTGGTGAGCTGCATACGCATGAAGCCCTCCTACAATTTTGCCAGCACATTGTTGGACCAAGCCTGAGGGTCTGCTACTGGGAGACGAACCTGTCTGTTGAACCCGTTTGCAAATAGGTCCACCAATTGGCAACCTCCTGCCAGTTGCAATGCTTCTGGAATTAGCATCCATTCTGTTGGCAACGATACTGATGGTCTAGAAAGGGCAACTTCTAAGACATTGGATGCTCTTTGGATTTGCCTTGCTTTGAATATTAGATTCAGTCTGTTAACTTGTACTGCTTAAATATTAACCTCAGAAGGGTTGCCAACTGAGTTGGGCCTTGGAGGCCATAGTTGGGTTGTTTGTTCTTTTCATAAGTGAGATATTGCCCGGATTACTGACTCGAAAGTCTCGGTGATTGATGTGGAAGAGCTTTTCTTCTGCAGACCACAGAACGTTGCTACTTCTGAGTCGAGTATGTCGGAGGCTGCGCGGAGGTCTTTGTCTGCTTGAAAGGCCCAGTCTGCGTAGAGGTCAGAGGACTGACGAACGTCTGACACTGTGCAGGGGTGGAGGGTTTCATGCAGGTATCTTTCTTCCCAGAGGAGGACAGTTTTGTGGACACCCGGGTGGAGGACTATGACTTTGTCTTCGTGGAGGTGAGGGCGTTCCACTGAGGGAGACGGCTTTGAAGAAGACAAAGAAGACTTCTTTATCTTTGTCAGGGTAAGAAGATGAAGATAGAGACCTCTTTTTTGACTTCATACTTGAGGCACCCTTCAGTAGCGAGTTAACACTCCTACTGCCAAGGGAAGAAGTCTGAGTTAAGACGACAATGTCACCCTCAATTTTTAAACCCTATGTTTTCATCTGAAGGAGGGGATGGTGTAGCTTTTCTCTCGATAGCATAAATATATTCAGCAAATTCTTCATCATCCAGCAGGGAGCAGATTCGCATTTCTGTTCTGCAGTACAATGTGTAATGCGGGTAGAGCAAATTGGATGGGGATCACATTCGAAGATGTGTAGCCGACATGGAATCCACATTTTCATCATGAAAAAAAAAGAGGCAGAATTTCAAAGAGCCAAAATAAGAAAGATTTCTTGCCAAAATATAAAAATAATCACTGAATAAGATGAAGGGATGTTTAGAAAGGGTAATCTGAACCAAAAACCTAATTGGGGAGGGCAACTTTGGTAAGGATGTTTTAGATTATGAGCAAAAGAAAAAGATTTTCAACAAGCTAGCTGGTGTGAAAATATGAGAGTGATGGTTCAGATTGGTTGGTTCTGTGGTTCCTGTGTGACTGCAGGTGAAAAGATGTTTTCTGTTTACTGGGAAGAAGTTTCCACTGTGTATTACATTTTGAGAATAGAAGAGATAAGCAAATTAGTATAAGTCAGGGTAAGGTACCTCCCCACAATATCCTAGGTTGGCCCTGTATCACACTCAATATGCTACCTTCTTGTAGATATCCCAGAGGGCTTTAAACAGCTTCTTGTCCAAGACTCGGAATATCTGGAAATGGAGCACATAGAGACCACAGGCCCCCACAAATCTGTACCGCTGATCTATCTCGTTCACCTCACCTAAACAACACAGAATATCCTCCATTAGACATGTAGCATCATTTAATTGTTTACATCCACATCTATATTAGAGTGCTCCTCACAGGGCTCCTCACAGGGCTCCTCGCAGGGCTCCACACAGGGCTCCTCACAGGGCTCCACTGGTTTCAGTGATGATGACCACATACTTTGATTTGAAAAACTTACAACCAATAACAAAATAATAATTTAATTTAATCCTGACGCCAAAGGTAAAACCCGATCACGTCTCTGTGGGCCAATACTGGCCTAATGCATCACATGCAATGTTTCATGAATTTATGTGCTCAGTGTTCATAATAATGAATATATGAACATATTGTACATTTTGAACTGTCAACTTGTAACCACATGTATTTGTCATCTAGCCACGAGGTAAGGGTTTTTATGCAGCTGTTTTGCTGTACAGATCATCTGGCGAGTGCAAATTTGAGGCCATGCTTCTGCAGTGCTACAACCACTTTGCAGGAAAGCAAATGTGCGAAGTGCATCAAATCACTTGAGAACCTTGATTTAAAACATGAAAAGATTTGCAAAATATCTGTCGACGCCCAGTTAGCAGTACTCATGCTTTGCAAATCCTGCAGTCAACTGAAATCTGCATGTTGAACCCATATTGTTTACAAACTGGATGTCTCCTTCGCTATGCGATTTTGATTGGACTATGCATGGACTCGTTAGTCCAGTTAAAAAGTAAATTGGAATTCCAGCCAAGTTCTGCAAGGAAGGAAACTGGAATGTTATCATGGTTATAGCCCGTCAACGCCCTTGCCTCTATATGAGGGTTAGGGTTAGGGTCATGCAAGGAAGGAAACTGGAATGTTATAGCCCGTCAACGCCCTTGCCTCTATATGAGGGTTAGGGTTAGGGTCATGCAAGGAAGGAAACTGGAATGTTATAGCCCGTCAACGCCCTTGCCTCTATATGAGGGTTAGGGTTAGGGTCATGCAAGGAAGGAAACTGGAATGTTATAGCCCGTCAACGCCCTTGCCTCTATATGAGGGGTTAGGGTTAGGGTCATGCAAGGAAGGAAACTGGAATGTTATAGCCCGTCAACGCCCTTGCCTCTATATGAGGCATTTTTGCCTTTCAATGGACAGGTGGCCTAAATATCCCATAATTCAGACATTTCATTTATAAATACTTCAAAATGATGCATAACTGAAATATTTCAACAGGAATACAATATGATTTTTTACACACATGTCATAGGGCTGCATGTATTGAAGTTTACATTTGTAAATGGTGTACATCAGTGTCCTTATTTTACTGTGAACATCAGGTCTCAGTTGACTGACATGCAGATTGTCCTACCCATCCTGCTCTCAAGCTCCATGACATAATCCCGGATGTTGACGGCAAACTCCTCGGCAAATGCACTGTTCTTGGAGACGTTGACACGGTGGTCATCAAACACCTGCTCCACACAGTTCTACACAGAAAACAACATGTCATACCGACTCCACAGCTCTACACAGAAAACAACATGTCACACCTGCTCCACACAGTTCTACAGGGAAAACAACATGTCAAACCTGCTCCACACAGAAAACAACATGTCACACCTGCTCCACACAGAAAATAACATGTCATACCTGCTCCACACAGAAAACAACATGTCACACCTGCTCCACACAGTCTACACAGAAAACAACATGTCACACCTGCTCCACACAGAAAACATGTCACACCTGCTCCACATAGTTCTACAGAGAAAACAACATGTCACACCTGCTCCACACAGTTCTACACAGAAAACAACATGTCAAACCTGCTCCACACAGAAAATAGCATGTCATACCTGCTCCACACAGAAAACAACATGTCAAACCTGCTCCACACAGTCTACACAGAAAACAACATGTCACACCTGCTCCACACAGAAAACAACATGTCACACCTGCTCCACACAGTCTACACAGAAAACAACATGTCATACCTGCTCCACAGTTCTACACAGAAAACAACATGTCACACCTGCTCCACACAGTTCTACAGGGAAAACAACATGTCAAACCTGCTCCACACAGAAAACAACATGTCACACCTGCTCCACACAGAAAATAACATGTCATACCTGCTCCACACAGAAAACAACATGTCACACCTGCTCCACATAGTTCTACAGAGAAAACAACATGTCACACCTGCTACACACAGTTCTACACAGAAAACAACATGTCAAACCTGCTCCACACAGTTCTACACAGAAAACAACATGTCACACCTGCTACACACAGTTCTACACAGAAAACAACATGTCAAACCTGCTACATACAGTTCTACACAGAAAACAACTTGTCAAACCTGCTCCACACAGTTCTACACAAAAAACAACACGTCACACCTGCTCCACACAGAAAACAACACGTCACACCTGCTCCACACAGAAAACAACATGTCATACCTGCTCCACACAGTCTACACAGAAAACAACATGTCACACCTGCTCCACACAGTCTACACAGAAAACAACATGTCACACCTGCTCCACACAGTTCTACACAGAAAACAACATGTCAAACCTACTGCACATAGTTCTACACAGAAAACAACATGTCACACCTGCTCCACACAGAAAACAACATGTCATACCTGCTCCACACAGTCTACACAGAAAACAACATGTCACACCTGCTCAACAGAGTCTACACAGAAAACAACATGTCACACCTGCTACACACAGTTCTACACAGAAAACAACATGTCAAACCTACTGCACATAGTTCTACACAGAAAACAACTTGTCATCCCTGCTACACACAGTTCTACACAGAAAACAACATGTCAAACCTGCTCCACACAGTTCTACACAAAAAACCACACGTCACACCTGGTCCACTCAGAAAACAACATGTCATACCTGCTCCACACAGTCTACACAGAAAACAACATGTCATACCTGCTCCACACAGTCTACACAGAAAACAACATGTCATACCTGCTCCACACAGTCTAAACAGAAAACAACATGTCACACCTGCTCCACATAGAAAACAACATGTCATACCTGCTCCACACAGTTCTACACAGAAAACAACATGTCAAACCTGCTCCACACAGAAAATAGCATGTCATACCTGCTCCACACTGAAAACAACATGTCACACCTCCTCCACACAGTCTACACAGAAAACAACATGTCACACCTGCTCCACACAGAAAACAACATGTCAAACCTGCTCCACACAGAAAATTACATATCATACCTGCTCCACACAGAAAACAACATGTCACACCTGCTCCACACAGTCTACACAGAAAACAACATGTCAAACCTGCTCCACACAGAAAACAACATGTCACACCTGCTCCACACAGTCTACACAGAAAACAACATGTCATACCTGCTCCACACAGTCTACACAGAAAACAATATGTCACACCTGCTCCACACAGTCTACACAGAAAACAACATGTCATACCTGCTCCACACATTCTATACAGAAAACAACATGTCAAACCTGCTCCACACAGTCTACACAGAAAACAACATGTCAAACCTGCTCCACACAGTTCTACACAAAAAACAACACGTCACACCTGCTCCACACAGAAAACAACATGTCATACCTGCTCCAAACAGTTCTACACAGAAAACAACATGTCAAACCTGCTCTACACAGAAAACAACATGTCACACCTGCTGCACACAGTTCTACACAGAAAACAACATGTCATACCTGCTCCACACATTCTATACAGAAAACAACATGTCATACCTGCTCCACACAGTCCACACAGAAAACAACATGTCACACCTGCTCCACACAGAAAATAACATGTCATACCTGCTCCACACAGAAAACAACATGTCACACCTGCTCCACATAGTTCTACAGAGAAAACAACATGTCACACCTGCTACACACAGTTCTACACAGAAAACAACATGTCAAACCTGCTCCACACAGTTCTACACAGAAAACAACATGTCACACCTGCTACACACAGTTCTACACAGAAAACAACATGTCAAACCTGCTACATACAGTTCTACACAGAAAACAACTTGTCAAACCTGCTCCACACAGTTCTACACAAAAAACAACACGTCACACCTGCTCCACACAGAAAACAACACGTCACACCTGCTCCACACAGAAAACAACATGTCATACCTGCTCCACACAGTCTACACAGAAAACAACATGTCACACCTGCTCAACAGAGTCTACACAGAAAACAACATGTCACACCTGCTACACACAGTTCTACACAGAAAACAACATGTCAAACCTACTGCACATAGTTCTACACAGAAAACAACTTGTCATCCCTGCTACACACAGTTCTACACAGAAAACAACATGTCAAACCTGCTCCACACAGTTCTACACAAAAAACAACACGTCACACCTGGTCCACACAGAAAACAACATGTCATACCTGCTCCACACAGTCTACACAGAAAACAACATGTCATACCTGCTCCACACAGTCTACACAGAAAACAACATGTCATACCTGCTCCACACAGTCTAAACAGAAAACAACATGTCACACCTGCTCCACATAGAAAACAACATGTCATACCTGCTCCACACAGTTCTACACAGAAAACAACATGTCAAACCTGCTCCACACAGAAAATAGCATGTCATACCTGCTCCACACAGAAAACAACATGTCACACCTCCTCCACACAGTCTACACAGAAAACAACATGTCACACCTGCTCCACACAGAAAACAACATGTCAAACCTGCTCCACACAGAAAATTACATATCATACCTGCTCCACACAGAAAACAACATGTCACACCTGCTCCACACAGTCTACACAGAAAACAACATGTCAAACCTGCTCCACACAGAAAACAACATGTCACACCTGCTCCACACAGTCTACACAGAAAACAACATGTCATACCTGCTCCACACAGTCTACACAGAAAACAACATGTCACACCTGCTCCACACAGTCTACACAGAAAACAACATGTCATACCTGCTCCACACATTCTATACAGAAAACAACATGTCAAACCTGCTCCACACAGTCTACACAGAAAACAACATGTCACACCTGCTGCACACAGTTCTACACAGAAAACAACATGTCATACCTGCTCCACACATTCTATACAGAAAACAACATGTCATACCTGCTCCACACAGTCCACACAGAAAACAACATGTCACACCTGCTCCACACAGTCTACACAGAAAACAACATGTCAAACCTGCTCCACACAGAAAATAACATGTCATACCTGCTCCACACAGTCTACACAGAAAACAACATGTCAAACCTGCTCCACACAGAAAATAACATGTCATACCTGCTCCACACAGTCTACACAGAAAACAACATGTCACACCTGCTCCACACAGTCCACACAGAAAACAACATGTCACACCTGCTCCACACAGTCTACACAGAAAACATGTCAAACCTGCTCCACACAGTTCTACACAGAAAACAACATGTCACACCTGCTACACACAGTCTACACAGAAAATAACATGTCATACCTGCTCCACACAGTCTACACAGAAAACAACTTGTCATACCTGCTCCACAAAGTTCTACACAGAAAACAACATCTCAAACCTACCCCACACAAAAAATAACATGTCATACCTGCTCCACACATTCTACACAGAAAACAACATGTCAAACCTGCTCCACACAGAAAACAACAAGTGACACCTACTCCACACATTCTACACAGAAAACAACATGTCATACCTGCTCCACACAGTTCTACACAGAAAACAACATGTCAAACCTGCTCCACACAGAAAATAAAATGTCATACCTGCTCCACACAGTCTACACAGAAAACAACATGTCATACCTGCTCCACACAGTTCTACACAGAAAACAACATGTCAAACCTACCCCACACAGAAAACAACATGTCATACCTGCTCCACACAGTTCTACACAGAAAACAACATGTCAAACCTGCTGAACACAAAAAATAACATGTCATACCTGCTCCACACAGGCAACACAGAAAACAACATGTCATACCTGCTTCACACAGTTCTACACAGAAAATAACATGTCAAACCTAGCCCACACAGAAAACAACATGTCATACCTGCTCCACACAGTTCTACACAGAAAACAACATGTCAAACCTACCCCACACAAAAAATAACATGTCATACCTGCTCCACACAGTCTACACAGAAAACAACATGTCACACCTGCTCCACACAGAAAACAACATGTCACACCTACTCCACACATTCTACACAGAAAACAACATGTCATACCTGCTCCACACAGTTCTACACAGAAAACAACATGTCAAACCTGCTCCACACAGAAAACAACATGTCATACCTGCTCCACACAGTCTACACAGAAAATAACATGTCATACCTGCTCCACACAGTTCTACACAGAAAACAACATGTCAAACCTACCCCACACAAAAAATAACATGTCATAACTGCTCCACACAGTCTACACAG